TACTCACATGAGTAACTGAGTACTCACTGAGTAACAATACTCAGAAATTGTTAGTAGTACCAATATGAGTACTCATGGACGAATTATGAGTAAAGTCGTACTCATCGTATGAGTACTTTCACTAGGGCGGATATCAGAAAATGTCGCTCTTTGTGTTTGAGATAAATCTCTCGATAAAACATATTCATCATCGTCTTCATTTGACAAATTATCTTCACTATAATGACCTTGATCATCTGTTTCATCGCCCCAGCAATTATCCACTAAATCTTCTTCGTCTCCATCTTCTGAACTGGAGTTTTCTATTTCAGAGCCACTCGCTCCGATATCGTCTATTGTTTTTGAATATCATTGATCATTGGATTTTTTGACTTTTAGAGAATATACTGAGAATATCTACCTTTGTTGCCTGAACGTCGTTTACTGCAACAGGAAAGGTAGATCAAGGATTTTCTGAAGAATAAAACTGAAATGGATTCTCTATTTTCAAAGACATTTCTCTTAAATTCACAGAAAAAAAGATGAATACAGATTCTGTCTGAAAAAAGTAATTGAAATCTAACGAGAACAAAACAAAAATTTGAAAAAAAAGTGATTTAGGGTAGATTCGAACATCTTACCTTCCACCATCCTGAATATTAATAGAAGCACAAACTCTCACACTTGGCTATCTTATAGCGTTCAGCACTTTTTTCAGCACTAGTGCTGCTTTATTTATTTTTCTTCAAACTACGTTTTACTTTCAAAGTGAAGACTATCAGTGAGAGATGATTCTATCATGGTTTATCTCAAAAAACTGAAAAACTATGAACATCAACTTTCTTATAGAAGTAAAGCTTTCATCAGTATTTTACAGTATAATTTTCATTCATGATGACCTCAGTCGTTACATCAGAGATGATCTAGACGTGCTTCTCGAAGTGGGAAAATTTTTATTATCGGTGTTTAGATACGATATTGTATTAAACTTTTATGTCAAGAGATTGAAAATATACGCTTTTTCACGTGCTATTTTGCAAATTTCCCTGCAGAACTAACTTGGTTACTTTGTAAATATTTGAGCAAGTATTATGAAAAATTAGTAAGTGTTTTCAGTATTAGTTACTTACCATCAGAGATGGGCCGCTTCGACCATTTCTGGCTCCAGCTGCAACTAATTACGAACCGCTCCACTCCGACTCCGCTCCAGCTCGACCGTCCTTACGAAGCGCACCGCTCTGACTCCGCGATGACAAAAGTTTTTTTCATATTTTTTTAAAGTTTGATGATGTTCCGTGAATTTTACACTTTATTTCAAGATATATATATTATAGAATAAGAAAAGAACAAACTTATTGACAATATACATAAGTTAGCTTGATTATAATATGAAGATTATTTATATTGACAAAAAAGACTAATGAACTATAGTAAGTGCCGATTGCATTTTAGTAAAGTTAGCATTGAGAGCATACTCTAGAGAGTCGACTACGATGAAGACGCATGAGTATGCCACTTGAAGAAAAGACGCGTTCAACTGGAGCTGAAGTAGCCGGTATACAAAGTACTCTTGTCGCAAGTCGGTGATATAATGATATTGTATTATTATTGTAGACGACAATAGAAGAAGATATATCAGCGATATCATCATCTTGCTCAGTTAACAATGATTGATCACGTAATTCTGACATAGTAAAGTTTGTTTGTTCAACTTTCGTTTGAATGAGAAATTTGGTTCTATTCTGTCATCGCTGACTTCTCACTCATTTTATTTTTTCTAATTTCTCTCTTCGTCGACGTCGCGTTCTTACATTTCGAAATTAACAATGACACAATCCAATTAGCCGTAGAATAACCGACTAAATGAACGTTGAATCATTGTCTGAAACATTGCCACTAACAGAGAGGTAACAATGGCATATTCAGTATAATGAATAGTCGATGACGGACTTTTCTCTTACTGATTCTTTCGTCATTGTTCATAGAACAGTGAAGCGAAAAACTGAGCTATGATTGGAGCTTTGACAAGCACTTCTCCAAGATTCCAATACTTGATTTTATTGCTACCAAGTATTTTCACAAAGTACTCGTAAGAAATCTGATAAAAACAGTGCAAAATTTTAAGAAAACATATTCTAATTAAACATTCATTCTGTACGTTTTTCTCAAGTATATACATTTTTGCACAGGAAAATATATTTTAAATATATTTAACAGAAATAAACTTCGGTCTCTAACACAGACTATGTCCTATAGGATATAGGACATAGTCTGTAGTTTACAAAATCAAGCATCATAAGTTTGACGTATATGACAATATGAGGATTCCAGCGAGATTCACAGACAGCTACATTATACCTTTGAATGAAGGAGGAACTATATCTGGAGACCTGTATTACATGGGCATATCCACGGACGTCCGTAGACAGCTCTTCGTTTTGGTCATTTATTAATGTAATATCTATCTGCTCATGTATGTGAATACGAAAACAAATACATGCTGTCGAAAAAAGAAAGAACTCGATTCATGAATATGATTAAAAAAATATCAGATAAAGATTGTTATAAATATCAACATCATATGAAACAGTATTTTGATTTTTTGATTTTAGAAAGATCAAGAATCCTTTTAGCCAAAATTAAAAATGCTGTATCTCCGCAAAACAAATCAAACATGTAAGCACAACTAGAGAACCAAAAGCACCTTCCTGGTCTATTCACTAATATTAGCTCTGTAAATATCAGTTCCTATATCCATCTGGAAAAATCCGCACACACGTATAGTAGGAGTTTTTTGTACTTTTACCAACTTTGACTACGTTTTTTTCATATAAATATAATCTTCATATAACGGAAATAAATCTAAGCCCCCAGGAGCCTGTTTCTTAAAAAAACTTAAGTAGAAAAACTGACTTAAGTCAACCTTAAGTCCAAAAAAGTCTTTGTCTTTTTTGACTTAAGTAAGATTTTCTACTTAAGTTTTTTTAAGAAACAGGCCCCAGTAAACAACATACTTAGGGTGTTACTTTTGCATCGCACTTAACTTACCAAAGGCGGTGTAATCAATGCGAAGACCCATTAATACTAACTAAATACGCTTAACTTTCACGTCTAACCTATCCCACTTTCATGCGTCATTTTTCTATTGTTTTTCTTTGTCGCATATATTCAGTGTTGGTTTGAGATCTGATGATTGTACGAATATTCGAAATCCCATTTATCAATTAGAAAAGTCAACCTAAAACACTTTCCTCTGTGAAGGATCTACGAAGAGGTTTCAGGATGCTCTCAGGGAATCAAAAATTCATCACAGCTGTGCGCTCTCTAAACAGATGGCTTTGATGACGTTTGTTTGTCACTAGGAGTAACATTTTCTTATTCGTTCAATAGGATAACCAATAATAAATTAGGTACATTTAGTGTACATGCAACATATGAGATCATTATCATTGCCTGATGTTTTCTTGCCTGCTGTATTTTGTAGCTGAAAGATTGAATCAACTATTAACTAATATAATGAGTTACTCTTCCCCTTTTGTTGATGAGAAATTTATTTTTACTTGCTACATTTCGATGTCCGTGACGTCTTCTTCAGACAGAAAGAGTAACTCAATATATTAGTTCTTCAGACCACCACGAACTGCAGAGCTGAAGATTTTTGGAAGTCGCGTTGCAGTCACGATATTTTGGATACAAAATCTGAGATAAGAGGAAATTTTTGTAAGTAATCACATAACTTTCGCGAGTAACTACGAATGCAACTACTCTACATGAATGACTGATAATTTTTTGTAAGCAGTTTACTCTCGAAAAGGAAAATTATCCTTTCTTTTCCTCCTAATTGAAATTGGTGAGTAGCAACGTTTTTTATAAACTCACTTAGTCTGTTCTTTGGTAGAATAGCTTAAATTAAGCCCATCTAATAGTATTTATTTGTGAAAAGTGAGGGTCATCAAAGATCCCCGACCTATAATAACAGTGCCACAAGTCAAATAATAGAACTTGAAGCTGTAAATAGTAAACAAAATAAGAAATCCGAGAAACAGTGAACAGATATAGGAAAAAGTGCTGAACATCACAAGGAAGACCGATTGAAAAAGGGAAAAGAACGTTTCCACTTTATCTCTCTGTAATAGTAATTTCTATCTGAAATTATTTGCGCTCTTACTCTTTTGTATGATTCAAATTATTTAAGTAAGTTGTAGTCTTTGATTTGGATAAGAAAAAGAAAGAATTCTGTATACTTTTAATTAGCCACTGTGTAAGAGTTACGCAATTTTATTTGTTTCAAGTTTAGACTCAAGTACGCACCTTTATCATTTTCTTTTTACTCACATACTGTTACACTGACACATTTTATTTTTGTTCATCTATTTTCTCTATCATTAAGAGTATGGATTCTTCACTATCAAATAATCCAAATCAGCAACAAAATTCAACTATGATAAAACCATTTGATCCATCAGATATTGATAGTCCAGGATTTGATCCAGAAACTTATGTAACAAAATTATTACGTGAATCTCGATTAACCGCTTTGATTGATAAAGAACAATTATTAACAAAACAAATCAAAATCTATGATAATGAAATGCAAACATTAGTATATGAAAATTATAACAAATTTATAAGTGCAACTGATACAATTCGACAAATGAAAAAAGATTTTAAAAAAATGGAAGATGAAATGTCAAATTTAATTACAAATATGAATTCAATTAATACATTTAATCATAAAATTCATTTAACATTGGATGTACGTCGACAAGAAATACGTAAATTAACAAGTATTCATTTATTATTACAAAAAATTCAATATTTATTTCAATTACCAACAAAATTGAAAGAATATGCAAATTTAGGACAATATGATCAAGCTGTACATACGTATACTAAAGCATTGAAAGCACTTAAAAAATATGAACATATACCATCATTTAATCATATTCAAACAACTTGTACAGATACAATGAATGTTATAAGAGAACAATTAAAACAAGAATTTGATCAACAACAACAAGCATCGATCGAAGTTATCGAATTATTATTAGAATTAGGAGAATCACCAGACTATTTATCAGAACAATTTCTCATGCAAAATCAACAACGTTTACAACAACCATTAGATTTAATGAAACAACAATTGATTGTTGCCGAAAATCAATTCACAACTAAACAACAACAATCTAGTGGACAAGGTAATCTAAACAAAGACGTTGTATATAGATATTTATCTTTTCATCACTTTTTTAGTTTTATATTTTGAGAATAGAATTTTTAAGTAAAACTTATTTATTAAATTTAGCTAAAAAAACGTTTTTCACAAGTTTTTATTTTTCATACCATTTCACTTTTTATTGTTTTTCAGTTCCTATGGATATATTAGATTTTGTTGATTCAAGCTATAATAACTATTTGAAAAATGTTTATTTATTCGTTGAATCATATGAGAATTTATTTATACGTAACAATGAGATTTCTGATGATGAATTTAAAGAACGTTGTAAATATAATATTGAAACATTTATATTAAATTTATACGATAATTATTTGAAATTTATCTATGATCTTTATAAATCAAAATATTATGGTTGTGATGATGATACACAATTATATGTACGTTCAATTGATCGTTTTATTCGTCGTTCAACAATCGATATCAATAAATATATGATTACACAACGATCATTAGAAAAAATTAAATTATATCTTGATGAATTTCTTCTTTATGCAATTGAATGTCGTCTAAAATATTATCATAATATTATTGAAAAACATTATCACGAACAAATAATTGATCTAAGAAAATCATTGACCATGTTAAATAATAATTCAGAATCAAATTCATTATCTCCAACAATCAAAACAGTATCCTCTTCTTCATCACCAAATCTAATGGATTATGTTGATAAAATGTTAAAACAAATAACTAATGATATTAAACAAACATTTCAAAATTTATCATTATTTTTATCAAATGATATACAATTTTCAAAAAAAAATTCAACATTTTCGAGACAATTTTCATCTCATTATGTTTGGGATAATTTGTTTCTCAATTTATTAAATAAATTATGTTCACATTTTGAACAAGAATATACAACAAATTTAACTGTATCATCTGTTATTAAATCATCTTCTTCATCGTTATATGAACAATCGTCACCACCTATTCTTTTACTCATGTTAAGTAAATTTGTATTAAATTTTGATTCAAGTTCAATACCTTATTTATGTACAATATTTGAAGAAAAATTTAATATTGTTTTAGAGAGTACATCACAACGTACTGGTAAGTCTTTTTTGGTCTAATGATACATATATACTTTGTTTCTAAATATAGTCTATCGGGTTAAAGAATTTTACTCTTATCGATTAAATCTAGGTCGATTAGAACGTCAGTTTTGTTGAATCTCGATCGACAAATTAGATTTTGTTCTAAGTAAATCGCCATCATTCTATTCATAGAGGCTACTATTTGTCTTCATCAGATATAGAAAACTTTCTGTGAACGCTAAAATGGTTTTAATGTTCATTCGACGCATTTTTTTGCATCAGCGTTAAAATGATCAATCTAAATTGGTTTTGATAGAAAATTTGAGATTGTTGATAATCCATAACTATCCCACATATCCTTGTTAGTTAAAACAAAGCACACAGTGAATCAAAAGTGAGCTTTTTTGTGATTTGAATAGTATCAAATATACTCCGTTAAACGCGCTATCCATCGGCGTAAAAATTTGTATACGACGACTTTTCCTTCCGGAAAATTCGGAAGAGAAAAAAACCGAATATATAATGAAACGCTAGAAAATAGGACGTGTACAGTGTAATCGCGAATCCACCTTCAGAGAGACTTGAAAAATAGGTCAAAATGTTCATTAGTATACCCTGCATCTGTGGTAGACTCACAAAACATCACAACTTTATCTATATATAGGTATGGATTTTCCAAAAACCCTTGATTTTTGAGGTATTTTGCAATTTATTCGGTCCAGAATCACTTGTATTAAAAAATAAGGTAATATTCAGAATCAACGTGAAAAACTGCATCAAATGATATATAGTTTGTTAGTTTTACAAATAAAACATTTTTTGACAAAAATTCAGGGCTAGGGTCCCCTCTAAGGAATTTTTTTATCGAACAACATTTTGTTTTCGAATTCGACCTTTTTTTACTTCTACTAATATCTGACACATAGTAAGACCATATTATGCTAAAATAATCATCTTTTAATTCAACTCAAGAGACTAGATGTTCACCTGCTCTATGGAAAAATGCCCACTGTGAAACATACACCAATTAACATTTGTAAACTGTACTACAGAATTGGATATGGACTGATCCATGTTTTCTGTCTGTCTCATTTCAAATAAAATAATAATCAGATCTAAGCGAACTCGTTTCTGGCAGATGAAATGTTGTTCATGTAGTTTATTACTTTTAATAGTCAGATTATTTTTATAGACAGAAATAAAACGCATTGTGATTCTCATTATTTCTTCTTTTACTATTTTTCACATTGAACTAAAATATTTTTATTTTTACTTAAGGTAATACAAATGATCCAAGTAAAATGAATTTGTCAACTGTTGATCGTTCAAAATTAACTGCGGTTCAAAAACATTTTCAATCTATTGCTAAACAATTACTTAAACAATATATATGTTTACAAGGTTTTACATTATCACAAATGTTAAGAAAATCAATTGAAGCTCGAGATTGGTTAAATCCTATAGAACCACGTCATGTACGTTCAGTAATGAAACGAATAATTGAAGATTTAACAGTAATTGATAAACAAGTACTCATGTTATATAATGATCATCCTCAACAACAACAATATGGCCGTAGTAATTATCCTCATCGTTATCATACAACAAGTGCAAGAACAGGTACGAGAAGTTCCGATAGTGGTCGACGTACCATCATTATGCCAAGAAATTTAAATAATCGAGGCGGAGATGGAAGTGGTTCAACAACGGGTGCTAGCGGTAGTAATCTAATGAATTTTCATAAAGTATTTAATGAAAAATTAGATATATTTATTGATTTACAATTTCAAAAGACGTCAATTCTATCAAGTGTTATTAAATTATTATTAAAAACTTATATGGAATGTATTCGATTGAAAACATTTAGTCGTTATGGTTTACAACAAGTACAAGTTGATATCAATTATTTATATAATTATCTTTGGTCATTTGTTAATAATGATGATAGATTTATTACAAATTTATTAGAGGAAATAATTAGTAGCACAGTGGCAAGATGTTTAGAACCAATACTAATGGAAGCAAGTGTTATTGAAGTTATTTGTGAGAGAAATTGATCATTCCTCATCTTAATGATAGAAATTTATTCCAGTCACTCATACAGATCGACGTTTCGATTTTTTGATTTTTTTTTTCGTCTTCTATACATCTATCTATGAGACAGTATACATTATTATTTATTGAATGTTTTTTTTTTTTTTAATATACTCAAATAAAATGTCTCCTCCGTTTTTTTAGAACGAAAGAGATCTACCGTTAATAATCGTTATTATCATGAGCATAATCTATCAGTTTTTCCAGAGACTACGAGTAACTTTTTGCAATGTGTTGTGTTTTCTTTCGGTTTCAGATGTCTGTAATGACCCAAAATCGTCTATTTCATAAAAGATCAGCTCATGTGATAAAATATCTTAAACTTTTTCCATTATTTATCTTCGAAGTCGATCGTGTACGTAAGTGTCGTGACGTCATTTATTCTACTTTAATACCAAAATATTTCTTGTATTTTTCTTTACGTTTAAGATTGAACAAGATTATGAACGATGGCCACATTATAATGGAGAAATAATTGACAATTTAATTGTAATAAAAGATGTTGAACAGGGTGACACATTGATTCGTTATGTAAGTAGTATAGTACAACATATGTTCAGTTGTTGATAAATGCAGACTATATATGTTTATTTAGGGAAGTTTTGGTAAACTAGAGTATTCAAGAATGGACATAACATGTTCAATGAAAACGGTATCGAACAATAAAAATCAATATGAAAAACCGTATCGTTTAAGAGAAATTTCAGAATTGATAAGGTAGACAATGTGTATTGAAGAAAGTTACACTTATCAAAATATTAATTATGTTTGATTATCATTTAAAGTGAAGAAGATAACGAATATCCTATACCAATTTCATCTGAATTTGAAGAAGCATTTATCAATGAGTTAAATCAAATAAAATTTGTTTCTGTTGATGATATTCGAAGAAAAAATCAGCAAGAATGTCGACAATTTATTGAACAAACAAGAATTAATAAAAAAGAAACACATGAAAATATTTTAGACATAAATATAGAAGAAGATAGTCAACCAACATCGTCGACGACATTGATTGTCAAAGAAGATGTTTATCTTCTTCCAGAAGAAGTAAGAAACTAGTGTCTTTGTGTATGATAAACAATTTACCTAATATTATTTATCTCCATTTTAGGCATTATTTCTAAGCCATGGATTAAGTTGTTTGGTTGTATACGATAATAAACACGTAAGTTAACTAATTTTTTCTCGTCTGTCTATATCATTTGACTCTTTTGTTTTTATTTTATAGCCGTTAACTGTAGAAGATTTATGGATAAAACTTAATCAGATTGATACAAAATTTTCGGTTAAATACGCTGTTTATTATTATTTTCGTAGTGCCGGTTGGATTGTGAAATCTGGAATGAAATTTGGTTGTGATTATAGTGAGAATAATAACATCATTCTAATTTCATTATCAAACATATTTCTTCTGTTTAGTATTATATCGTTTTGGGCCAGCATATAATCATGGTGATTATTGTTTAACAATACGTAATTTTTGGTCAAAAAGTTGTTCATCATGGACATTTTTAGCCGGTTTAAATCGAACAAGTTTAACTGCCAAAAAAACTTTACTACTATGTTCGGTACAATTACCACCTTCAATCGATAAAATTGATTTATTTATCAAACAAATGCAGATAAATACAATGGAAATAAATCGCTGGGTACCAAAACAACGTCGTGATGATGGAATTGTACGAGATGAATCTGCTCTTGAGGAATTTTCTTAATGAACGTTATTTTCGTTGTTCTACATGTTATATTTGTTTTTGTTATACTTTTAACTCTCCCATGCTTGTATGTTTCATTGAATCATGAATACGGGATATTGCGCTTTAGATTTGTAGACTGTTGGATATAATAGTCGACTGAGGAATATACACAACGTATTTAAAACTTCTCTTTCTAGATCAGTGTCATGTGGATGTTGTTAATTATACTTTTTATTATATGTACGTGAGGTATACGATCCCGATAGTTTTATGAATTTAGTTTCAATTTAATTTCAAAATTGTGTCATATTTTTTGCTCACCAATGAGAGTTCAAATAAGACAGTGTTAAGCAGAGAAAATTTGAAGAAGCAAGCGAAAAAAAAGGAAGATGCTGTTCGCTATAATGGCTTTGAAACTCTTAAAAAGTTCATTATCTAAATTAATGTTGATCTAGATGCTCTTTTGTCTCCATCACATGTGATAAGTTAGTTTTTCCGTGATACAATGTAATTGCTGCTTCTTGGTGTATTTTTTAGTTCGCTAAAGATAAAAAATAACTTTCAAGAAATAATAGATGTCTTTTCTTTTTGATTAGTTGCTTTATTATACATTTCCAATATTTATTTTTGGTCTGGTACCAATTGTTCATCGACAGAACGAATTGATGGAAAGACTGTTGTCATCACAGGTAAAGAATTTTACCGTTATTTAAGATTGCTTTTAAACGTATCATTTTCCTTTTTTTTTCTTTTATAGGCGCAAGTAGTGGCATCGGTAAGAAAGGTAGTTTCAGTTATACTTTCAATAAAAATTGTTTTCTCTAGGCCAAGCAACAGCTACAGAGTTGGCTAGAAGAGGCAAGATAGTTTAATTTTCTCTTATATAATTCGACATTATGATTTTATTGCTGTAGGTGGTCATATTATCATAGCCTGTCGAAATCGAGAACGGGCTGAAAAAGCTTGTCATGAAATAAAACAAAAATCGGGTAGTAATAAAGTGGAAATTGAACTCATCGATGTGTCTTCATTGGACTCGGTACGCCAATGTGTTCGTCGATTAAATAAAAAATTAGATAAATTAGATATTTTGATAAATAATGCTGGTAAATATTATATTATTCGAATATAATCAATTTTTTTATTATATAGATTTTTCTAGGTATCATGATGGTACCGTATGAAAAATCACCTGATGGATATGAACTACATTTAGCCACAAATCATCTAGGACACTTTTTATTGACAAATTTATTATTAAATCTAATGAAAAAAGCTCCAAAAGCAAGAATTATCAATATATCTTCTGTAGCACACAAATGTATTTATGAAAATATTTTCTTTTTATATCTCATTATTTATTCTATTTTATTTTTTTTACTATGTTAAATAGTATTTAATGCAAAAATGAAATGGGATGATCTTAATTTTGAAAAATCTTATTCAAGAATTGATGCTTATGGTTGTTCAAAATTATGTAATATTTTATTTACACGAGAATTAGCCAAACGTTTGATAGGTAATCTAAAAAATGAATCTTATTTATTCAGTTATCAATTAACGTATCAAATTATATTTATAGGAACAAATATAACAGCAAATTGTCTTCATCCTGGTAAATTGTTTATTTGAGAAATAAATGGTATATCAATATTTACTTTGTTTAGGTGTAGTTCGAACAGAATTAATGCGTAATCTTGGTGGATCATATGCATCGTTATCGGCACTATTTCTTAAAATAATGTTACCAATCTGGTGGTTTATATCGAAAAATAGTGTACAAGGAGCTCAAACTACAATCTATTTAGCTGTTGATAAACAACTTGATACAACAACAGGACAATATTTTAGGTAATTCAAATATATATATATATATCAGTAACACAGTGAAAATAATCATCATTTTTCTATTTTCAGTGATTGTGCAAAATCAAGAACAACAGCAGCTGCTCTGGATGATGCATCAGCTACTCGACTTTGGCATTTATCTGAGAATATGACAAATTTATCTGCAACATTAATTGAAATTGAAAAAGAAAAACATGAATAATCCATTGTTATACTTAATAATATTTGATTTGTATTTTTTTTTTAGTGTTTGTATGATTTATTTTTGTACTAAACTAATATCTAATTAAATGTCAACCAATATATTCTCTTTTTTTTTGTTATTCGTAGAACATCTCTTATTATACAAAATATCTCATTATTCAGTGAACGTAAATGATGTCTGAAAATCAAATTTTTCTACATTAATCATTAAATAAGTGTGGAATAAACTGTTCGATAAATGTCTTGTTATTGAAAAAACAACAAATCGAACATGAAAATGGCTGCTGCTGTTAAAGTTATTTTATTCTTGAAAAAAAAATGTTAATATAATTTTTTGATTTATTGTATTTGGTAGTTGTTTTGTAGCCTAGATACATGAGTGTTTATACAATCCTCGTACGACAAGAAGATAAACATTTATATTCTATAGTCAGATGAAATTATGAATAAGTTTAATACTGGTAATATGGAGTTGATGACACAATTTTAATCGTACAAACAACATAAAGATTCGATACAGTAAATTTACTTTTGCAGTTTACTGTAAAACTAAATTCATGTGTTCGATTTTGTTCAGAAAGACTACGGCTAGCGAGGAAACCTATCCAAGTGATACCTTCCGATTTCGTTCGTTCATACGTCGATCGATAGAAGGTATCGAGCTAGTAAAAAGCCTAAAAGGATTTTTCCTCGTGACTTCATTGTCAGCTCAAAGCTACAGAAATAAGAAGAAATTAATTTAGGACTTTTCTTGTAAATTCTATAACTTTGCAAAGAAAGGTCATGTAGAGCTGGGAGATGTCTCATTCTAATCAGAAATTTACGGGCTACAATAATGCCTCACGAAGAAAGATTTTGATTATTTTTTAGAGTTTCTGGTTTTGTAGAAAACCGGATCTTTAAGAGTCATGGGGAAAAATCCTTTTAGGCTTTTTACTAGCTCGATACGCTCTACTGATCGACGTATGAACGAACGAAATCGGAAGGTATCACTTGGATAGGTTTCCTCGTGCGATCAAATCGAAATTGATATTTTGTTAGATGATCTTTAATATTTTGCTTTTGTACTTCATTTGTCTAGCACCATCGAATGAGAGAATCTATTGTATCTCTTCTGCTTTTTCTTTTTAATAGAAAAAAACGAATATATATTGACTCAAACAAATATTTTTTCTTTGACTGAAATACATTTTTTCCATTTCTTATTCTAATATGTTTGGCTTACTGTGATATATTGACAAAGTTAGTAAATAATACATTTATATCAAATTTCAATTATATTGCACTATCTTTTATCATTAAACTAGACAAATAAATTATCTTATCAGTATTTATATCGATATTAAATAGAATTCTCTTTCCTTATTTAATATATCATTTGGCAGCATCATTCGAATATAGATAGTTATTAACACACAGGTTTCAGTTGGTGTTGTTGTTTTTTTTGCACATTTCATTTATACACTGTATTTAAGTTACATCATTATTCTAAGAGATTGACAATATGGTAAGATTAACAACATCTTTCTTAAATATTTTGATTCTAAATACGAATCCATGTACAAATGAAAAAGGGTACGATTTTAAAATAAATTCATTCATTCACAAATCTATTATGGTAGAATAAATTTCATGGTTAGAGAAAAGATGGATGGGGCTTAAGAGTATAAGGTTTAGTGAAATGTTTATAATTTGAAGAGTGAAAAATGATCATTTTTCTCTATTTCGACTAAAATGCATTTAATGTATTTTAAACTAGTCTCACATTAAACAATTTTAAGTGTAAAACTGATTACTAATTGATCACTAATTTTTGGTTTGAGAATAATTGTATCAAAGTCAGAACTAGCTGATTGTAAAGACAAATATATAGTCTTATTTGGAGTTCAATCAAGACACTGATTATTTGAGTTAATTAATGTCGATTCTATTCTTACAGAAAATAAGCGAAATGTTTGATGGAAAATAGAACGAACGTTAATTTTGGCGCCAGTTTTTGATTATTTTCATTATTTAATAACGATATAAAAGTTCATATATAAAAGTTGAAAATAAATTCGAGAAAGAGGATATATATATAATTTTTGATTTTTTTTTTTCTTTTTCTTTCAAAAATAAAAGTTGTTTTATTGTTTGTTAATAATGGAAGATTATTATGATTCTCCTCTCTATTCTAATGAGAGAGATACTAAAAATTCAAGAATAGATAATGAAAATTACGATATTAAAATGGGCAGTGCTATCGTATTGTTGTATCTTGTCTATTATTGTTTATCATGTATTCCAGTATACGGTGTGTTTGAGAAATGTCGACAAACTGGTTGGCATGGATTTATTCCGGTTTGGTAAGATTCATTTGAAATAAATTCGTCTCTGTATACGAAATTAATATTATTCTTTAATCAATGGGAATTTTTGTTTTTCTCATTCAAATGTATAAGAAAATATCATTCAATAATATCTTGTAAAGCTAACAATTTGTGAATAAATTTAAAAAGTTAACCATTTTTCAGGAGTACATGGATATTGAATAAAATCGTTGATTTACCATGGTTCTGGTTAATTATTTATTATATACCAATCATAGGAAATATTCCAACAGTAATTATTCAAATGCATCGTTTATCAAAAGCATTTGGACGTTCTAACTGGTTTACAGTTGGTTTAGTTTTAATACAGATAGTATTTATGACTATTCTTTGCCTTAATAAACATTATCGATATAGTCCAAATAAAAATCGTAATCAATTTATTAAAAAAATTGATAAAATGAATGATGTCATCGAACGAAAAGTGGAAAACATGGAAGAGACTATTTTAAATAAAGTAAATGGTATTAGAGTTTAGATCATCATTTTTAATAAAATAACAAACTGTTGATGAATTAAACAGTTTTCTCTCCTCATTTTCTTATCTTTTCTAGCTCTTTTTCTTTTTGTTCTATCTGTTGCGTAGATATTTTCTCTCTATTTTGTATTCAATATTAATTTAAACCATATTCATTTAGTTTTATACATTTTTGAATTTAAAAAATAATTCGTTCGAATAAATTTATTAATTATAAATGGTCAAACAGGCTTTTAAAATTTAAATTGTAGAATACTGTTTGATTTTATTTTCAAGATTACATGCTTGAGATACTTGTATTATGTGGAACAATGTTCGATGATCATTGTATGTTGAATGATGTTTATCTTTACTAAATGTTGACAGCTTTCTAATATAACATTGAATATTTTTTTCACATAATTTGCATTGACGTCATATCTGTGCATCGAACTATAGGAATGGTTTTTTTTTTTTCTTCAAAGAATCATGTTGTTCAGTAGAATAATATAGCTGTAAGTGGCAGTTTACTCTTCGATATTTACAACATCAATAAACTAAGAGAGAAAAGAGGATGAAATTATTAACATTTTTATTGTAATCCATGTCTTCTAGGTAAGTTTTTTTCATTGACAATATTGTTGTCACCATTTACAATGATCATCGCATATATAATATAAATTGAACATCATCATAGCGCTTGTAAATAAGAAAGTTTGTCAGAATAGTTCCATAAAACTTTCACACTATGATGGTGATTATACAAAAGACATGTTTGTTAGAAATGGTAAAATAGAATAATCTGAAAGAAAAACAAAAAGCCGATAAAAGAACGAGTTGATCCCTTCTACTTTTTTTCAAAGGATTATTTTTGACTTTAAACCACAAATTCTTCCATTTTCTTTGGAAATCGGACCAAATCTTTGAAAGTTTTTGACAAAAAAAAAGTTGAAAAAAAATATATAACAACTACTTAATCGTTTAAAAAAAAAATAATGGCATGTCTTTCTTTCTTTCTCTCACCAGTACATTTGTGTGAACATTTCTTTTTCTTTCATTTTTTTTCTCTTTCTATTTGCTTTTGTCAAAAAACATTTTTTTATTGTTACTTGGTCATGTATATGTATCGTTAAACAAATACACATAGTAGCATATTTTAAACAATATTGAACTTCAACAAAAATGAACTTCTACCTTTCGAATAGAAATATTTGTTGAAATTTTACATATAATAAATGATTTTGAAAGCTTTTTCGAATAGTTTACCAATTGTTCTAGTTAAATCAGATGATTACAGCAACGTTAGAAGTTCTCATGTTCTTTCAATTTGAATAGAATTTCTGAACAAGAAATGTTTCATCTAAAACAAAAATAAAGTTTTTTTATAGTAACTTTGTTTTAAACTCTCATTATGTATTAAAGGTGTTCATCATTCAAAAGTACAAATAATTATACCAGTCTATTATCGATCTAGTGATTTAACAACAACAACAACAACAACAACAATCATAATTATCTTTTATTTGGATTTTTTTTCTATTTTTAGATGAACTGTTATTGTTAAAATATTTTAATTATTTACTATTTCTAATAAAATCAACGAAATAGAAGAAGAAAAAACAATCATGGCAGATTCATTTCAGAAAAAAATAAAAGATTTAGAATTAACAAATGATGAAGTAAATCGTTTTACGGATGCATTTAAAAATCCTGAATTTCGAAAATTATTTAATGAATATGCTGAAGAAATAAGTGATCCTAAAAATCGTGAATTATATGAAAAAGAAATTGAATCAATTGAAAATCAACGAGGTATGAATGTAACATTCATTCATCCAAATCCGGGTCATGTATTAAAAACAATATTAAATGGTAAAAACAATGATGATGATTATTTTATATTTTTTTATATTCTATTTTAATTATTTTTCATTTATATTTTAGGCACTAGAAAATGTTTTATTAATATAGCAACAAATATTAATGTTGAAAAACCGAGTTATGAAAAAGAACAAGGAAATCAAAAAGATAATAATAATAATAACAGTCATTTATTAAAACAACGTACTGGTGGAATGCATTGGAATTTACCACATTGTCTAGCTCCACCAAGAGATGATTTTGATAATAAATCAATTCCATGTACAGTTTATGATATTGTTTATCATCCTGATACATATAGAATGGCAGAAACAAATAAAAATTTTATGCAAATGATTGAAGAATCAGCATTAGATTCAATTGAAAATAATTTTAAATGTAAATTAGATCGAAATAATATTAAACGACCAAAATTAAAATTTAAAGGTGTACCAAATCCAACTATTATTCGAAAAAAAAATGATAATTTTATTGAAGAACAACAAATAAATAATCATGAAAATAATATTGATACGAATAATAATGAGAAGTAAATATTTATTATTGTACATGAAAATATTATAAAAATCTCATCATTTTTTCTTCTTTCTATTGTAGTGAATTTATAAATAGTTTGTCAAATTTTCCTCAAAAATCTCAAACAAATGTAGAAAATCACAAAGTTATCATATCAAGTCATAAGCCAATCTCAACATCAAATGGTGTATCATCCATAATTCAAGAACTTGTTTCTGATCATCCACTATCTTCTAATGATGGTTATACAATACCAACATATAAAATTATTCATCGTGGTGAATTTGATATGCAAGATTTAGTACAAAATACATCAATTGTTCAAGCAAAATCAACACGTCCGAAAGAACTCATTGTCGAAATCGATTTACCATTATGTAATACATCAAATAATGTTGATTTAGATGTCTATGAAAAATCATTACATATTCATTGTGAAAAACCAAAATATGATTTAACTTTGAATTTACCGTATCCGGTGAGAGAAAATGATAGTCATGCAAAATTTGATAAAAAACAACGTAAACTTATTATTACATTAGCTGTGATAAAAGAAAAAGATTTAATTGTAAATTTATCTGCCACTGAATCTTCTACACAAGTCGAATATATTGAAGAAAATAAGGAAGATGAGACTAATCATATAATAAATAATGAAAAAGAAGCAGTAATCGAACAGAAACCATTAAATGTTGATACAACAAATTATTCTTCAATTCCATTTGATTTTAAACAAGGTGTATCACATATTGCACTTGTTTTACATTTAAAAAATGTTGATAAATCGAGTATTGATATAATCAATGATGGAAAACATGTTTATATAAAATTATGTTCATTAGGTGAAGGCTATTTTCCATTATCTCATCAATTATATCTCAACTTTGATAATGATCAAGAACAACATGTATTGGAACCAAATGGAATAACGATAAATCATAGTAGTGAAAATGTTGTTGTTATATTGAAGAAAGCAGTTAATAACGATCTTGTCAAATTCCAAGCTGGAGTGAATCAACAACAACAACAACTTGAGGTAAATATCTACTACTTTTCTATGTTGTATACGATCAGTGATGGTTTAACTAAGCAGTTAAACAACAAAGTAACATAAATGATAAAGAATTATGAATAACTTATCTGCCATTAAACTTTGCCAAATCTTTTTAACAGTTATGTATTCGTATTTTCACATCGTTCTGAATATTTTAGAAAATTTTGTGTTCTGATACTGTTTTGTATCACTCCACTATCGAAATAGTTTAGTTCAATAGAAAAAGCGTAATTAAGAATTAGCTAGGTGTTTCTTGTTAAATCTGACAGTTCGATACGACGACTTTTGATACAGGTAGGCCATATTATCTGATTTACCCGTAGCGGAAAATTCCATGAAGAAAATTCAAGAGGTTCTGCGAAGATATGAACGGGACCAAGATTTTTCAGTCCTGATACTACAGGATACCCACAAAATCCGTAGACAAAAATAAGAATGAAAAGTTTTTATAAAAAATATTTCGCCAAATTTTCGCATTTGATATTTTTTATAGCATTTTCTCTCCTCTTTCAGATACACTTGAAATTTTTTCGTTAGCTCTATTCTATGTCATTTTACAGATGAATTCAAACCGAGAAGTTATTGCGTATTTTTTCCAAGGAAAAAGACATTGCCCGCTCGCTGAATTTGTCAAGGCAGCTCGTCTCCAAAGCCATCAAAGGTTACCAGGTGACGAGGAGCAACAATGACCGGCTTCCTGTATTTTGTAGGGCTTTTCCGGCTTGCCAAAAAAGTGGAACAGAAAAAGTGTGTTTCTGTTTTTGGTTCGTTTTGACATTTTTTTCAGTTTGAATTGATCTATAAAATGATGTAGAACAACGCTAACGAAAAAATTTAAAGTATACCTGAAAGAGGATGGAAAATGCTACAAAAAAATGTCACATGCGAAAATTTGGTGAAATGTTTTTTAAATAAAGTTTGCATGATATTGTAAACGAAATAGATTAAAGGATCAATGGCTAGGAAAGAACTGTCATACTTCCTGTTCAGACGATTTTCTTAAAAAATTACATTTAAGCATGGTAAATTTTTAGCTGTTTTTTCGAAATTGTCAAAAAAAATCCTTGATTCCAGTCTTGGGCAAAATCCTTTTTTAGTCTCATTCCTATCCATGTTTAGTTAAGTGTAAGAAACTTGAAATAACAATACTTATATCAATTGACTCGTGCTTAGTTTAGAATCTTATATTTGTGAGTTCTTTGTTTCTTCAAAAAAAAAGCCCTATTTATTATTGATCATGTCAAACTGTCTCGGCACAAGTGAGACATTTTGTTTTAAATGTGTAACACGTTTTGATTGTTAGAGACCTTCTTGGATTTTTTTTTCTATTCATTCTGATAACAGCAGCTGAAGGTTTATTCAATAAAAACCCGCTCCAAGTATAGAAATTACATTAGAATAGAAAGGAAAAAGAATAAAGAAAATAAGTATAGGTTTTTATTACATAAATTTGTTTCTGTGATGTGTAAGTGATGTTCATAGTATTAAAGTAAGAATCACAGTGTATATTTTTCTTTTAAAATACTATCATAGACAGTTGTTTAAATTTTACCGTCTGTCACATTGTTATCTAGATAGCTTTATTAATCGTTAATATAATAAATTATTACACTTATTAGTATTATAGTATACCTTAAACACGGTTTAAATACAATCGATATTGTACACGCATATTTTCTTAAGTTAATCAGAATTGTAGTTTGATACCGCTACTCAACTTAAACATTCATATTCGTTAGATGAGCGAAAAAAAGTCTTTTGTTTTTCGAAAGAAAAAGTTAATCTGAATAGGAAAGATAGTTGTTCGAGTTGTAATAAATATCGACAGAAGCAATTTTTAAAACGAACTCGATCACATGATTTCAAACTTTTGAAAAATATTCAGACAAGTCATGAAATCAGTGAATTAAACACGTGGTAAGCATCATGAATCTGAAATTTCATCTCTAATTCTTTTTTCAACATTTGAAGATTTTTGTTTTCTTTTTTTATAGACTAAATATTTCATTTCTTCACCGATATCCAAACCTCCATTAACAACCGAAACAGAATCAACTTCTCTTTCTACTATTGCTCATGAGCCAGTACCGTCTGAAAGTAATGTCTTTGTTGAATGTGAACAAAAACCATATTTAAGTAAAACTGATCCTCTTTTATCGACAACTAAAAAACAAGAAGAATTAAAAATGCATGATAAAAAACCGAATAAAAAAAAAGCTCGACGCATGGCAAGAGAAGCACAACACGCACAAGTGGAAGCAGCAGGAACAACAACGACAACAAGTGATGGAGAAAACGAGACTGTCCTATTATCGCCACCTTCAAACAATACTCAGGATGTGCCGTCAATAACCAATCGTAATTTAAAGTCTGATATTACAAATAAATTACAACGAATGAAATTTGAACAACATCCTCATGAATCAACTCCACACTCCCCTGAACATCATTTACAAGATGAAAAAAAAGATAAATTATCAGATATGCCAACATTATTACATCCACCATTTTATCGTCGTCATACATCCGAGTCAAGTGTAGATGATGAACATTTACCGAATGAACTTAAATTGAAAGTAAGTGTGTTTTCACTGAAGAATTTTAATTTCAAACTATAGACGGACATATTTGATATTGCTAAGATGACAATTTACTTTGAAGTCAAACAAATCTTATTGGTCTTTCTTCTTCTATTTTTTTAGGGTATATTGAAATATTCATTAAAAAATCGTTCACTATCTGAAAGTGACTATAATGCAGATTTAAGTGGTGATTTTCAATTTAATTCATCCAATGTATTTGAATCAACAAATGATTCGTCTGAACTTGATCTAAGTTCATCTGGTAGTATCAACAATAATACAAATACGCCAAGTGATAGTGCTTGTACAACACCAAATTGTGTTAATGTAAAACATGTAACATTTAGTAATCAAGTTGTTTCAAAAACCTTTAAACCAAATGGACCTGTTTCAGGCATGCGAAAATCATCACACAACCAGCGTAAAAATAAAAATCGTCAACGGCAACGAAAACGACGAGATTCAGCATCACAATCGAGTGATGGCGATGCTGAGCCGGCAAATACTGATGCATCAACAAAAGTGACAACAACAACAACAGAATCTATAGCAAATGGCATTGATGGTGATATAACCTTGCGAAAATTATCTGAATCAAGCGATGATGATACTAATGAAAAAGTGGTTGATATGACAATGAAGGAATTACGTTTACAAGAGAAAAGTAATCAGGACGATGATGATTCGAATGATAATGATGATGATATGCAGGATGATGACAATACAGTACTGAAAAGTAATGAAACGTGCGAACAAGTTCCATATAAAAATCCTGTAACGTTTGAGTCTGTTTTATCTTGGCGAGCAGCTGGTAATATGGATGATTCTACAACCAAAACAAAATCAGCAGTTCAGTTGACAAATCCGCTTATATTTGAGCTTGATAATTAACGCAATAGTTAGATCGCTTTTTTCAATGGTTTACTTTTTGTATGGTAAAAGCACCATATGTTCATTGGTTTATATTGTGTTTTAAATTGAATTGTCAGAATTTCTTTTTGTTACCTTTCAAGCCTAACTTCAAATCGTCCTGTATACTCACATTGACTTTTGTTGTCGTATTTTGATGTTGTTTGAACTTACAAAACAATTATGAATGATTGAGAGATACTCTCGCTTTTTTCCAAATTCCATTTTGAATGGAGAAAATACTTAATTTTTTTGTTTTCGTTTAATATTTTTCCATTTTGTGCGCTCAAATTTCATATGATGATAAGAAGAATAAGAATAGAAATTAAAATACATCCGAATGCGTATTACTCAGTCATCCTTAGTTATGAAAAGTTTATAAGTATAAAAACACATTTGCACGAAACAATACTTATCAAGAAAATTATAAACTCTTCGTTTTTTTAATATAACGAATCGACATCATCTTCTGTTGTAAATTTGTTTTCTTAAACAGATTGTCACACCATTATCCAACTTTCCCATTCGTTCTCTTGTTGATGAGATATTGTCACGGCAAAAATAGTGTGTGAATTATCACATCCATAAAACGAAGAGTGCTCTAGTGAATGTACTTGACGATAGGTACCTGAATACTTGCATTTTTCTTAGGTATCTATGCGGATACCCTACTATGTGAATGTCATAAGTACTTGAAATTTTTTCAAGTAAATATTACTTACGATGAACACAGCATAGGTACCGAATATTTTTCCGTTCACCGTTTTGTTTCGCATTCAGACATATATGCAAGAAAAATATATGTTTACAAGAATGACGTGCATTTTTATTTTTACACGATCACCTAAAATGGCTGGCTACTCGCTAAGTAATATTTTATTTGCAAGCAACTCTGACATTCTTGTAACAGAGTAGCTATGTACATTCACTAGGATGGCACTTTATATATGAAATAAACAATAATGTTGAACGTATTTTACTTGATTGTATTTTTCAATTACTATCATTCAGATGGTTTTGAATACTTTTCGAACGTTTTGCTTGAATGCATTTTTTCATTCAAGAAAAGAGTATTCATTCATATTTCTCAAATTTTTAATATTTATTTCGGCAGTCATTTTATGCCTTCTTTCAATATTTGACTATTATCATTTTTCTTACCCATATAGAACCATTACTCATTTTGATATGAAGTGAATATATATATTATTCATCATAATCAATTTTTACCTGTTTTTTGTATCAACAGTCGATATTTCTTTCTGTAACAGCCCGGTAAAATACATCTGTCAGCTCAGTTTATACGCTAGCTTATTGATAAAAGTATCTTGACGTTCTTCAGTTATTAATCAAATAGTGTATACAATCCGGTGACTCATTATTGTATTTTTTGTTTGTGAGCAGTGTTCCTAATAAGAATCTCAGTTAGAAGGTATCAGCATATGCTGTTTGGAAGCTGAAATTATATGCATACACTCTGTTTTTCAAAACAACATGTACTAAGACTAAAAATTCGCAAAACGGCAAAATACAATCATAAACATTGTGTTTCATCTCTTTTTTTTTAATGCGAGCAAGCTCTGATAGTCAGAGTAAAAATCATGCAGCAAATATAAAGTAAAAACAATTTTTGTTTAGTTTAAGGTCTTTTTTATTTCTACGTTGCTGAAAAATAGTGAGTACGAAATCTTTGTTTCAAAAAATGTGTGGATATAATACGGTATAATGATAGACATGAATATAACATTAATAAAAGTTTCTGGAGCGAGAATAATTTATTAAATTTTTTCTATGATGTGGATTAACCGCAAAAGATATAGCAGAAAGGACGACTCTTAGTTGTTCATCCAAGAGGGGAAAAGCAGCACCTAGTGCCGATTAGGGTGCTGAAAGGTGCCGTAAGGTACTGCTTTGCAAAACATACGATAGTGGGATCGAATCACACACTGCATGGATCCTTTCGTATACGAATAAACTTGAAGAAGGAAGTTTGGCTGCATTTACATCATACTGCTAAGAAGACAATAATACTTTATTTTTGACAGTACTTAGTGCCGAGTGGAATGCTGAAAGGTGTCGTAAGATATCCTGTAAAACATAAGATAGTGGGATTGAATCACACAATGCACGGATTTTTTTCTTCTACAAGAAAAGATGCCTTATTGATTTAACTTAATAGAAAAGAAGTTTATAAACTTCTTTTATTTCAACATTTTCTAATTTAATTCTACCGTAATGGATATATCCTAATAACTTTTATTATTTTATTCTTTATACCAAGTTTAGTCTTAGGGAAAGTAAGCAAAAGGTTGACTCAGTCTGATTGACTAAATTGGTAAATTTGGTGCCGGAAAGTACTTTTTCCCACTTGATTTTAGAGCTTCATCTGCTGTTCGAATCAAAGTTTACCGGTACCTGTTATGGCCATACCCGGTACATTTTTAACCCAGTAACGGTCGGAACCGATACCGATTCTTATCAAAGATTGGATAAGTCATTAGATGAGATACAGTTGAATGAACGAGATCAATTAGTTAAACAAAAACATTCAGAATTAGCATCGTTAGAATTTCACGTTGAAACTGTTGTTAGAACATTAAACAGTTTCAGCGGAATTCTTGTAGAATTTCAAAAGAATTCAGAAGGTTTTGCGTAAAGGCGACTCTCAAGGGATGTCATCGAAAGTTTCTCTGAAATTCTCCACAGGACTCCATCAGGACTCTTGGAAAGTCCTTAGGATTTTTCGCTTTTGCACGAAGTGTGATCAAAAGACAAATGAAATGTACCATTTTCGTGGTAGAATTATTCTCTATCCTGCAATGGAGACCACGAATGATAGCCTATACACTGAAAAATAGACAAACAACGACAGAGTACGTCTATCTATTGAATTGGAACACTTTTCTTTAACAATAGACCGCAAATTGTGCGTGAACAAGATAAAAATAATAATATAGAAAGAAAACAAAACGAACGGTATGCTTTGTTATAAAAACAATAGTGATTCATTTGAAGCGATATATTATGTACATAAACTAGTTAAAAACCTGTAGAAACACAGTGTAAAATGCACTCTACCTTTTTTCTCATACCGTGTAAAACAGTGTGTATATTTAATTTCATTACGATTCTTAACACTTTGTTTAAAACGGGTACACTCTCTTATTAGAAACACTAATCACGGGCGAGACATAAAAGAAGAATTCTCATCCTCTATCCGTCTGTATAAGTTAGAAACCTAATGTTCCATAAGATCTCAAAGTAGTTCATCCCCCACATATGAGACTCAATTTCAAAAACCCTTTGCGTTCCTGTATCCCACAAATGGGAAATTAGAATGTTTCCTGTGTTTACTTGAGATAAACGGAATGCCTGTAACAAAAGTAATGGGATTTTCTTCAAAATTGATTATCTATTTTATATCTCTATTTCAAGCCATAGACACAAGGTTCCCTAGAAAAAGGCTTAGAGACTCTTGCTTCATTATCGGTTGGTGGTCTTATAGATGTTTTATTCAAAGAGAATGCTTATTATAGTACGAACTCGGTTCATCGTGTACTGCTATCGTCGAATGTTGAAGGTTTTGCATGGAAGTCATTTTGTGGTTTATTTTAATGTTTGTTATTTTATAAACATCAATAGGTGAAAGTATTATTGGACAACTGGCAGCATTAACAATTGCATCTACTATTATAATTTAATTAGGTAGTGAAACAAATTCGTCATCAATGAATCCATTTCGTACACTAGGACCGGCATTGATAAATTCGAGTCAAGATGGCAACATTAGTTTATGGATTTACCGTGATGGACTCTATATTGACGGTCTACTAGCTGTGATTATTGTTCTATTGCCAGCTGGAATGAGGAGAAAAGATAGGGAGGAAATGAAAATGGCACACGGTGAATAGGATATATTCTACATAGTACAAATGATCGTTCTGTTCGTCATATATGGCATGATTTCCACATTATTTCTTATATAAAAATGGTCGTAGGTTTAGGTTAAGCAAAGTTATATTTATATGTATTTAAAACAGAGATGGATGAGTCATTTTCTCGAGTCACTTAAAGAATCTTATAGAATTTTATAAGATTCTTTAAGTGACTCGAGAAAATGACTCGCCCATCTCTGATTTAAAACCGTTTAAAACGACGAGTTGCACAATTGTGTTTCTCATTAAAGTGATGCAAAGAGAACGAAAAGGATGAAAAAAATTGTCCTTTTACTCATGTCCCATGAAGGTTTTGTCTGGTAAAGAAACACTGTGATAACCATTAGATTATCGTGACGAGCTTTGCTGGAATAAAATAGTCTTTCGGTACAGAAATCTATCGCGATCTTTACTTGTAATGTTACTGCGATAAAACTTTTTATGGCACATGAGAAAACGACCACTTTTTTCATTCCTTTTCATTTTCTCTTTCTTCAACGGATTATCGCCTGTCACAAATATAACGCGGGTAGTAGCCTGACACCTGACTTCGTCTCGAGGGTAAAACTTGTGAAAACGATAGTTCATTAGTAAGATATAATTCTCTCGTGTTAGAAAATAGTCCGATACCCCACATCTTCACGTTTATGTTACTACCGATATCTATAAGTCAGTTTTCATTGGTTATTCAGGGTCTGTTGCCTTGCCTTAGTTTCGTGTACATAGCATGTCTAGTTTTGTCGTTGTAAGAAGTTACCTGCCAGTAACCGCTGCCCAACAGCAGGTAACTTCGGCAATTATTGAAAACTAGCTGCCAGAAGAAAAAATGTGTAGAGGTCAAATATGACCGACTAAATAATGAAAATTTCTCAACTTTATTTGTGTGTTTCTAGTAATAAGCTATCTCGTAACTCAAGTATCAACCAAGTCACTTAATGAAAATAAATTTTGTGAGGAAATAAGAAGAAAAAAGTTGAAAGAGAATTAGGCCATGCATATATAGGCGGCATCTTGTCGAAGAAACCGATTGATCAATTTATTCAATACGAATCACTTTTTTTGCTCTATTTTGAAAATCAGCGGCCATTTTTGGCAGGTAACTTCTTTCAACGAAGTTTTGTTTATCTAATTTCATAGCATTGCTTATCAGAGCTATCTGAAACGGCTGAATAAGTATCAAAAGATATGTCATAAGCGACTCCAAGTTTGTGAATAGTTCAACTCAACTTTTGTTAGGAAACACTATGAGCCCCGTGCAAAGACTGATAAAACAGAATTTCTTTCAGTTTAACGTCAGTTTTTTAGACTAAAATATTATCATTGCTTCTCGTGTAGTCGTTAATTTTTCAGTTTTGCTACTATCTTCTGAATGCTTAACTTTATCAGGTTTGTGTTTTCTATCTAACGATCTCATTCTTTTCTGTTAGATGTATAAAAACTATCAGTAGAGGTTTGTCTTGTGTCATAATGCTGAAAAATATCAGTTTGTTATCTTTCAGATGGCTACAATCGAGAGTACGGATTTAGATAAAATGATTGGTACTTACCAATTTATATACGAATATTATTTTTCACAAGCTGATAGCAACGGACAGGGCATTACGAGTTCAATAGAATCAAGTAGCTATTTTAATCGTTCAAATTTAAAACCAGAAGTATTAAAGGATATATGGAGTTTGGTCGATCCAACTGGGAAAGGATATCTCGATCGGCGGACATTTTATATCGCACTGAAATTGATTTCGTTAGCACAAAATAATCTACAATTCAACTATGAAAATCTTTATCAAGAAGTGGCACCCCCAACTATTGGAGAAATTCCTCAATCAGTTTTGATGTCAGTCGATGATTCTTGGCATATTAATGGTATGTATTTAAACATGTCATCAAGAGGAGTAGAATGAGATAAATGCCTTTTTTATCTTTTATTCTAGCAACATTACGATGCACGTTTGATCGTGCATTCGATAAACTGTGCGGTAATAACAATAAATTACCTGGATCTCAAGTTAAAACAATTCTATTAAAATCTGGACTATCTGCTGATCTTTTACATCGAATATGGTATTGAATGAGTAGGATTTAAGAAGACCATTTTCATAAAATTATTTATTTCAGGGATTTGAGTGATTATGATCAAGATGGAGCATTAGATCGTGAAGAATTTGCTATTGGTAATTTAAGTATACTCCGCATTCTTATCGAGTTTATCATGTAGTATATGTCTCTTCTTTCAGCAATGTTTCTTATACAGCGAATCAAACAAGGTTTAAGCAAAGAACTACCAGATAAATTACCAGTTAATCTATTACCACTCAAAGTTCGACTGACTTCAGGAGACACAGTTGGTGGACTATCACTAACGCTTACAGCAATCTCGCCCAAGAAAAATGAAGATCATTGGATTGTGAGTCCTGAAGAAAAACAACGTTCCGATGTTCTCTTTCAATCACTCGATACAGATAAAGATGGTTTTTTAGCCGGTTCGGATGTGTTTCAAACATTTTTAGCTAGTGGTTTGCCTAGTTTTGTATTGTCGCACATTTGGAATCTTTGTGATATTGGTCAAACGGGTAAATTGAATTCTGAACAATTTGCATTGGCAGTTTATTTAATTAATCAAAAAATAAAAGGTAAAAATAATTTTCATATATTTTGTTGATGTTGTCGAAATGTCTTCTACTATTTTTTAGGCAACTACAATATACCTGTGGAGCTCACAATGGAAATGATGCCGCCTAGTTTACGACCGAAAACGTTTCATATAAACGAAAGTGATAATCAAGAATTGCAACGATTATTAAACGAAGTTAGTCAGTTGACGAATGAAAAGTCATTACGTGAGATACAGTTGAATGAACGAGATCAATTAGTTAAACAAAAACGTTCAGAATTAGCATCATTAGAATTTCACGTTGAAACTGTTGTTAAAACATTAAATGAACGTGAGCTACGCAAAACAGAAAAGAAAAATGCTCTATCTGATTTCGAGGAAAAAAAGCGTAAAGCTGTTCAATATATAAATGAATTGAAACAACAAATATCTATGGAAGAACAGGCAAAACAAGTTCAACAAAAATTGCATGCATCAGCTGTTGAGTATGATATTCAAAAACAGAATGATTCACGGATTAAAAATAATATAGATCAATTGAAAATGGAAAAGAATAGTTTGGAATCAAAACTAATGACAAAGCAACAAACTTTAACACAGTTGACACGTGATTTAGAAAAATTTCGATACATTGTTCAAAATCAGCAAAAATTTCTCACTGATTATATAAACAGCAATGGTCAACAAGCAATTACCGAATTAATACTCAAATTTCAACAAGTAAGACGTACAGAAGATTTATTATTATCCTGTCAAAAACAACGCCTTTCCTGTATATAATAGATAAATAAATCTTTTAGATGAGTTTCGTGAGATCTTGTGTTAAGTATGTCCTCTACTTCTGAAATGCAGATTATTTATCATCGCTTTAGGCAACAACCTTATCTAATAGTTTACCCTCCGTTTCTGCTACCCCTCCTCCACAAACTATACCACTGTCAACATCCACTGGTAAGATGTCGGCATCGAACAGTATGACGAGTGGATTTAGAGATCAAACTAACCATTTTATACCGAATTTTCAAACTCCATCAACATCATCAAATTCACAGGCACAAGGTTTTTCAGCTGATCCGTTTGGTTTAACTACCACATCGACTGGATCAACCTTAACAGGTACTCACTTACATGCTGATGATCCATTTTCTTCATCTACAAAAAATGATCCGTTCATTTCCTCAGTATCATCGGTTGGAGGAGGAACTCATTATACTGATGGTAGTGATCCGTTTCAACAAAACGGTTCGAATAAATTCTCTACTACACATGATCTAATAAAAAAATCAATGATGAATCGTTCAAAAACACCTAATCCAAATATGTTCAATCTAAATCCATTAACAAAATCTGAACAACCCCAACGTCCGCAATCAGCCATGGATTCGGCACTTAAACAGGGTCAAGCGCCATCTCAAGCGTTTAACGATTTACTTGATATATTTTCATAAATTATTTTTTTATTTTCTTTAACAATATACTGTAGTGTTGTGATCTTATGGTGCCAGTTTTATATATATATATATAATACCTAGTCAGAATTATTTATAAATGTACATATAGTATTCTAATTTATTTTTAATAAAATAAAACAAATTATTATACGAGCAAAAATTTATATAGATCTAAATTAGGCAATATATTTGAGTTTTGGAAGGAGTATTCACTCAATATAATGAAATTTTCAGAGGATATTTAAACTTACATGGGCTCCAATTTCCATTTTCAACATGAAGAGATGGAAGAGTTCAATACAATTATGTAACTAAATGTTTTGACATTCTACAAAAACTTGTCATTGATTCTAATTGTTTGTGCACATACATAATTTCATATGTTCTAGAGACCGACACATCGTTTGTCGAATATGTTTCGAGTTTTTCCAGTTTTACAATATGGTACAATAAACGCGTATCGACTAAAGTGGATATAAAAATCGTATTCAGTACCGGAAGCTATCCAAATAGACTGTTTCATCGTAAAAAAAAGCGAGTAAACACTTGATAATGTTGATATTTCCTTGCTAGGTGAAAAATGTTTCAATAACTTGCACAAACAATGAGGTGTTTTATATTTGATTAAAGAGAATTTATGATAAAATAAAGTGGAAGAGTGTTTTTTTTCTCCTGAATGATTCAGAAGACTGAACTATGTTGTTAATATCTACTTATGATGAGATCAGGACTAATCACTAAAATAAATTGATTCAAATAATCAGCATATATTACACCTGTTGATGAAGAGAGATACGTTTAGATAAAAGTTACAAATATTAACGATTTTCGAAACATTTAATTTTTATTATCTACTTATCTAAAAAAAGTATTTAATCTAAAAAGTCAACATTTTTTCTCTATTTGTTGAGGACGATGTTAACGAATGTGTAGTGTTTTTTTTAAAGCAAATTTTTTGTTTTTTTCATCAACAGTGACATTAATCCAAAATTGAAGAAGAAGGTATAAAATCAAGGTAACCACAGATCGCGAGAAACCGTAGAATCACATCTATTATTTAAAAACAATTTGAAGCGAACCATATTATTTTATCTTCTTTTTCTTCTTCTTCTTCTTCTTCTCTCTAAGAGCAGATAAAATTCACGAACAATCGTGAAAAACAGAGAAAAGTAGTTTGTGTTCGTCTTTATTGTTTAGAAGTAGGTGATATTTGTTTGATAGATTAAAAGTACAAGAAAACTCTTTTTTTGATATTTTTTAGTTGGAAGGTAACAGTATAAATAGAAACATATATTCATATGATGTTCGATATGAGAATATTGACAGGCAAGAAGGAAAAAAAAAAACATGAGAAAAAAAATTCAATAGGCACGTAATTTTTGCAAACCAATTGTATATAATAAAAATATGTATGGAAAAAAAAAAGACTTTATACAATTTACGGTGTTTTTTTCCTATTTTATGGCATCATATCTGTCAATACTCTTTCATAAAATAAATACATATAAATATGTATATGGATAATGGAATAATAAACTGGAAAAAGAGTAAATTTTCTTTTTTATGAATTATTATCGTACCTGATCATTTCGAGAAATTAGCGATGATAACAGTAACGTTACATTTGATAGATGAATAAAGTAAAAACTACATAATTTTATTCTATGTTGGCTCATGTGTTATTCATTAGTGTCATTTTTTATGCGGATAATCTGATTCAGGGTATGTGATTGGAAACAGATGAAAATTAAAATGAAATTCTATCCAAGAATCTACTAAAAATAATTATTATGTGCGTGTGTAATAGAGAAAGAATCTGAAAACTTTTTGTTCTTCCGAAAATGAACTGTTTTCTTTTTTTTTTCCCCCTAAAATCAATCTATTTAATCCCAGTCAGTTAAAGTTTTATCTCTGTATGAAATTGTACACTACAATTTTTATTGAATCACTACCTTTATTGGCCTATGAAAATCTATGACAATGTATCGATTAACAATTGAAGAAAATGTACAGTTTCCAATCTTTTATATTTTTGTTAAGAATTGTTATCAAACTTATATGAAATATTCAGCTTTATTAAGAAAGAAAATCTATATGTATACAAAGATGTTTAAAACAAAAGTATCTCTCTCTAGTGTGTAACAGTGTCATTGTCAGACAATATCAGACACAATATTCATTTTTTATAGTACACACGAACAAACAAATAGCGTAGACATATGATAAGTTTCTTGACGATTTAATATCACATTTGAAGGTTATTCTATTTTGTATTTCGAATGCAACAGACAAACGGTCAAAAAATCTGTGATTCCTCAGACTGTTGTATAGATGTTGAATTAATAGACTAGCATTAACTGGTCAGCTTTCTTTACAAATTATCAAGTTTAAATTAGCGGCTCTTCGAATATCAGAAGTTGAAGTTTTTATAGTGTTTATTTTTAGAATGACATATCGTGTTGATTCAACAATAGTGAATAAACCGCTCAAGCATATAATGCAAAAATCGTCTAATAACCGTTCATCTTCATCTCTCAAACATCTATCATCCATACCACAATATCTTCGTATTGAATGTAAAGCTGAAGAAAAACATTTGACGAGTAATATATTATCGAATCCGTTCACGTTAAATTCGTTCATCGAACCGATTAAATTTACACTCTATGATCAAGATCAACTGAAACCGATCCATTATAAATCGGAAATAGTTTTACATAATAATCCAGATACAAATTTACGAATTAAAGTTTTACGTGTGGCATTTCATAACTGTAGTCGTACGCAATCAATGAATCCATCAATGTATCGTTCTCGTGAACGAAAACCTCTTATTAGCAACAATAACGATTTATCTTCAAAAATACGACAAGATAATACAAAATCGACAAAACGACGATCGATTACTAGCAATCATTCATCATCTCGTTCACGATCAAAAGTTGCACTTCATCAATGGATTGATGATATTTGTAAAAATAATGGATTAATGTACAATGATGATATTGTATTTTTTTTGAAACATGGTGAATTTTATGTTCGAATATGATCGAATATTTAGATTTTAGATAGCAAAAAAAACAACAAAAAAATAACAAGTTCTTTCTTGCATATTTCCCAAGATGTTACTACATTATTAGGTCGTAGTAGTTTGTTATAGGAATTTTTTCTATAGATATATTGTTGCTATTCTCAATTGGTTAGTAATTAAAGATATTGTAAATTATAAAATTGTTTGGAAATATTTAGTTTCAAACATTTATAATCTGTTTTGTACCAGTAGCAAATTATAATCAAAATTGTAAAAAAATTTGATGAAGTCTTTAATGATATTGACTATCTAACTATTATGACTTGAATTGTTAGAACAAAATATATTTATTTGATTTGTTAAGTTTCCTCAGTACATTATTAATCACCTTTCATGATGACTTTAAATGTACATACTGTTCGTTAGATCGCTTTGATTGATATATGTGCCAGAAAACATTTTTGATGATATAATGGTATATTAAGAGGACTACAACAATTTTCTTTTAACCCAAGTACTACCAAGCGGGGTCAAAAATGACCCCACTGTAGAAAACTGAAATTTAATAAAAATATTGTGGTATTTTTCTGGTTCAAAGAGTATTTAGCATTTTTCGATCGATTTGAAACAATAGCTTCCTGTCTTAGATTCGATGACAAGACAATAAGGGAGGAAAGGAAAAATACAGATAAATTTGATGCAATTCGTGAAATATGGTCGGACTTCCAAAACAATTTGTTCAAATGTTATTCAGTGGGATCTTTTGTGACAATTGATGAACAGTTGGTTGGATTTCGCGGAAAATGTCCTTTTCGTCAATTTATCCCCAAAAAAACCTGATAAATATGGAATAAAGCTTTGGTTATGCGTTGATGCCGATTCTTACTATGTATTTGATGCAGTCCCTTATACTGGACGACAACCTGGTCAAGATAGACAAAAGAATATAGGTGTCAACATAGTTTTACAACTGATGGAACCACTGTTTGGTTCTGGTAGGAACGTTACAATGGACAATTTCTTTACTAGTATTCCACTAGCAAAACAATTGGCAGTTCACAATATTACCCTGATAGGAACATTACGCAGAAATATGCCCGAAATATCCGTAGAATTTCTCTCAAATAAAAATCGTCCAGTTGGCTCTGCAATGTTCGGTTTCAACGATAATCTCACACTAGTTTCATACGTTCCAAAGATAAATAAAGCTGTTTTGTTACTCTCATCGAAACATCATGACCACCAAGTAGACTCAACAAATGGAAAGCCACATATTATCTTGGATTATAATAAAACCAAGGGTGCTGTCGATACTGTTGATCAGATGTGCCATAAATATTTCGCAAGAAGAGGCACAAAACGATGGCCTCTCTGTCTTTTATAATATGTTAGACCTTGCTGCTCTAAATGCTCTGACCATATGTAAGGAAAAGAATCCAGATTGGAACAAGAATAAAAAATACAAGCGTCGCTTATTTCTTGAAGAATTAGGAATAAGTTTAGCGGCTCGTCTTCTTGATGTTCGTTCACAAACTTCAAAGTTCTTGCACAAAGATGTTCAAAGTGCATTAGCTGTTATCCTAAGGTGGAGAAAACATCACAAGAATTAAACGAAACCTCCATGAACTTAAAAAGAAAATGATGTTCGCTTTGTGACCGTACCAAAGATAAAAAGACTCTGAACAAGTGTTACAAATGTTCTGGACTCTGTTTGTAATGAGCATTGTGTGAAACGACTCTTTTGTATCATTTGTTCGAGATAAATACATAACACTCTACTCAATCATTTTATCCTCTAACCGAATAGAAAATAGTGTAACTTGGACAAACATACCGGTTTCATGACGAAAAAATCACATAATAAAAATATATCATCATTCCATGCCTAAAATAGGCTTGGTAGTACTAGGGTTAACCCTTTGACTACCGAATAGTAGTAGTAGTACTCCTTTTCAACAGATTACGTACTAATTTTTATGAATTACATCATGAGAAATATGAAAAAAACAGGTGTAGCTTTTTTTATACTATGGTACTCAAAGGGTTGATACAAAAAATTGTCTAAATTTTGTTTTTATCAAAAAACAATGTCTAATATGTTTTTTGATATAACTTTTCAAAATAAGATTTCTGATAAGCAGATATTGTTCCATTGATGACACTAATTTAATATCTTTCTCTTTTTCTCCCATAATCTCGTTTAAAACTAAAATTCCACTGTATCGAAAAATCTTCGTAATTGAATTCTCTCTACAAGATTGTTGTTACATTTCTCCGAAAAGTCGTATTAATCTCGGGAAAAAAAGAAAACGCTTGTCTCCAATTAAAAATATCTAACACGCAAATATTTAATTCATATGTTTGTATCTCCAAGATTATATCGGTACCCCCTTCATTTTATTTTTCTCATGCAGTACAATTTGTTTCATCGTATTATAAGAAAAAATTCCATGTAACTAAGCAGCAACAACAGTAACTTCAAATATTTTTATACCGACTGAGCATATATACAAGACAACGACGTGGCAAAGGAAATAAAAGTATCGTATGTATTGTACTATTAAGATATAGCAACAGAAGTTCTTAACTTTAATGTTTTGTCAAATATGATAAAGTGGAATTATTAACAAAAAAAAAAAAAAAAAACCACGAGAAAGAAAGAGAGGAAAGAGAAATCGTTACATCGATACCAGTTATTCATATTTCAATAGAATAATAAAAAAAACTATTATTGTTAAAATTTACTTGAAATAACAATAATAATAATAAATTTTGCTTTTCTATAATTATCTTAGTTACCAAATTTTTTTCACACAAAAAAAAGAATAATTCCACTAGAAACAAAAAAACACAAGAACATAAGAATACAAGAAATAAATAAAAATAATTTACCATAGGTAACCAAGTTGGAGCATGTTGCTTTCGTTTAATAGTAGCTTTTTTTTCTCATACAACTACTGTTCTGTTGTGCTTACTATGTGAACAGATGAACAATAGAAACATCATCACATATTGAGTTAATTTTCTTCATTTTTTTTCTTTGTATAAATTACGATAAACGTTGGTATATGTCTGATATATGAAAAAAAATTTTTTAACTATATACATCAACATTAATTGTACATCTATTTTTCTAGATTAAATTGAATTAATCGTCTGCAACTTAGTAGACGATCAAAAATGAGTACGGCTGCAAAAGGATATAGTGGATATAATTCATTTTTGGATAAATATCGAACAAATTTGAATACAAAAGGAGGGTAAGTAAAAAATTTTCATTTTTAAAATCTTCATCTATGAAAACAAGTAAGTTAAGAAAATATTGAAAGAAATATAGAAAAATCAAATTTAATGAAAATAAGTAATTTTAAGAGTATTTCAAAAAAAAATTATCTTTGTTTTGACTTCTGACTTTATAAATGTCAAAATTACTCTTTCTTAAATAAATGGATTTATTCAATTATATAAATGACAATAGAGATAAAGATAGTGGTGTAGCAACGTACAGTTATACCATATTCTGATGAGTAAAGTACCGCAGAATATATAAGATCCATTTTTTTTTACATTTGTAGTCAGTGAACAAGAATCTTATACGAATCGCATTTTTATAAGATTTGCAGAAAAAGTTGAAACACAAGCATATTAGACGTAGTATGCGTCGCGCTTCAATACTAATAACGCTACTATAATCGAGCTACTGGCAGTGGCTAAAATTATGAAAATGTTTACATTCAATATTAAAGTACCGATCATCGAAATAACTTGACGATAGAAAAAGGAAGAGAGCACTTTAAAAAAGAAAATGTCGTATTATTATATCGCAGAATTTTGTGTCACAAGGGCAAGAAGGAATATGTGTCGCAAGCGAGTGGTGTCATGTGTCATTATCCAATATCTAGTGACCTCGCGTCCATAAATGCGTTGGATAAGGTCAAACTTTATCTTGAAAAGCAGGACTCTTAGAGATTGTTAAACGATATAGTGGGACTCAGGGAATCGAACTTATCCGATAGATGCCTCTTTTTCTAAAAAAACTTAAAAATACGCGAAAAAATGAACTTTGAATGATTTTTACAACGTGACGCACGTGTCACAAACTCATTCCTGTGTCGCCGTTTTTACAACATATGCGACGCTTTATTTTTTAGAGTAGAAATTTTACTGTTTACTCAAATTTTACCGGAAACTGGCTCCGCTGAGAATTTCAGGATGTATGGATAGTTTCAGAAACTATCCTGCTTATCTACGTTACTTATGTGCGTCCCTTATCAGTAATTTTTATTCCTGAGAAGAACATGTTACATTTTTCATTCACTTCAACTGTAATCGACACTACAGGTTTTTCGTCAATAGAAAACAATTTACTCAATTAACCTTTATTTTAGTTCATCATGTTACGTGCCGAGGTACGTTTTTCCTCAACTATTTTTTTTAACTTTCCTGCTTATCTACATTACTTATGTGCCTATCTCATAGACTATTAGCAATTTCTATTCCTAAGAAGAACGTATTGCATTTTTCATCCACTTCAACTGTAATCGACACTACAGTTTTTTCATCAATAGAAAATAATTTACTCAATTAACCTTTATTTTAGTCCGTCATATTATATGCCGAGGTACGTTTCCTCAGCTATTTTTTTTTACTTTCCTAGTTGTTTAGCAACTCTGTATATTGATTGTCGTTTTTTCGATGCTATATTTACTTGAGAAGATATCAACGATCTTCTATTTGTGAGAATGACTGGAAAAGAATCGATTTTCTCATCTCTCTTCTTCGTATTCATCATTTATCCTTTGAATTATTCCAAAAGACCCTTCTTTTTCTCGAATTTATCATGATTTAATAGTCTGAGTTATCCAAAAAATAAAACCACTTTGACCTGTTATTAACTAATAATATGTTTGTTGATAATTACGATAATAGATTGTAACGTACAAATATGAGGTTTCACTTTTCAATAAATCTATTTACTTTTACTTCTCGTATTGGTTATTTCACTATGTTTCAGTCCACATTGCTATCAATGTTCGCCTCGAAGGTAAAAAAGTTTAATTGAAAAAATGTTTAGATGCTTTTCTCCTCCCTTTCCAATATCCACATTTTAAAATTCATTTAATTTTATAACTTGTCTGTCAAATAATAGAAATGCATAATGTAAAACAGTTTAAAAAATAATTTGAATTCATTAAATTTTTCTGACTATTTTAGTGATTATGGACAACAATCCGGTTACAATAGTCAACGACCGCAGTATGCCTCAACACAACAACAACCACAACAATATGGCAATAATGGATATGATACATCAACGTATAGAGCATCTGGTAAGCTATATTTAATTCAAACTATCTTAAATTTTATTTACTATACATTCTTTTAAGGCAATGTATTGCACGATGAACGTTTTGGAAATGAAATATTGGCACGTGCTGGACCAAGGTAATGATCGCATGTAATATTTATTCATTAATAATTGAATTTATATTTTGTTTTAAGCGCACACTATCAACATCCAGAATATCGTACGCATGAAGTCATTGCACCAGAAGTAAGCTGATAATTTTTATTAGTAATTCAAATGTGAAAGACAATTAAAATTATAGGGTCGAATGGACAATCTTGATGTTCAACATGATCATGATCCATTGCATGTTGTTAAACCTGTTTCGCAAGATGTTCATTACAAACAACATGTTAATGTTCGATTTTTGGAACCTCCACCACCAGCAGAGCCGGCTCCGATTATCATAAAAGTACGACTATAATAACAATAACTTTGTTAAGCTTTTGCACATATAATTATTTTTAGGAACGACATGCTCCGTCACAACCACGTAAGTTATTCATCTATTTTACTGCATTTATCATGTGACTTAATGCAAATAATTCGTTTCTACTATCAAAAATATTTTTTTATCTAACTTCTACATCGTCGACTTAATTAGATGTCGTGGTTCATTTTACTTTTGAATATTTTAGCACCACCTCCGATTGTTATTCGTCAACGGCCACCAACTCCACCTACTCCTCCACCTCTAATTATTCGGGGTACGTAAAAAGAATCAGAACAAATGTTCACTATTTATTTAATTTACTTATCATAGAAAGACCACCGACTCCACCACCACAACAACAACCTCAGGTAAGTCAATATTTATGATGATTTAGAATTATTTACTTAAACGAATTTTATATTATAAAAAGATCATCGAAAAGATCATTCCTGCGCCTCCACCTCAACCGCGTCAAGTAATCGTTGGTTAGTAGATTAATGTCATTCTATTTTTTATCTAAAAAAATACTCTATTCAATTATTCAGAGCGTTTACCACCCCCACCACCAAAACCTCGACATGTCATCTATGAAAAATGGTAAGTTTCGGATATATTTTCATTGAATAATTGTATAGTCTATAAGAGAAACTCTTCATACAGGTTACCGTACGAAGACACAAAAGAACGTCCGGTTATTGTTGAAAGAGCTCAACCAGCCGAGATATTAAGACCACCAAAAAATGTTATTATTGAATATGAACGTCCAAAAGCACATCATGAACAAATTATAACTGATGAAGGAGTATTTCGTGCTGATCCCTCTACTCATCATGCAACATCTACCATTGGTGAGGTAGGTAATCATATTATAAACATCGTTTGTTAGAGTATGTGTGTTATGCAAATAAAGTTTTTATAGGTACGTGTTGTCGATAGAATAACAGATTTACCAGTGAATTATTCAAAATATTTAACAAATCGTTCACGTCCTCCATCATCATCATCCAGTCCTAATTTAGCATATTCAAATCAAATGCAACAACAAAATCAACCACAATTTAATCAAACAGAGCCTGTATCACAATATCGAACAACAACATACAATTATCCAGGTAACGTATGAGTAAGATTTGTTAATTGTAATCATTCTACATTTTGTCAAATATCCTATTCTTATTTATGTATTTATTAGGTGCCTATACAACAACATATCGTAGTTCATACACTCATAATAATCCAAATCAATTCATGTCGGGACAATATGGTGGTGGTAACGATGGCAATGGATCTGCAGCATACTCAAAATACGTTTAAAGAAAAAATATCTGTATAAAAATTGAATGTTAAAAAACGTGAACCCCCGATTTTACACTATGACCTAAAAAAAAGATTTTATTACTTTTTTTTGCCTTAAAAGTTTTTTTTTCATATTTAGAAATCGTACATTGTACGAAATTGTAATAAAGTTTTTCTACTTTTTTACTCAATAACAGTAATCAGTGAAATGATTCATTCACCTAATCATATTTTAATCTAGCCACTTGAGCCAATGAGTTCAATCTAAATCTAATTTTTGATCACAACATTCTGCTCTATTATTTTATGAAAAGTATATAAAAAGATTAAAAAAAAATATATAAGATAAGAGTATTAACAAGAAAGAAAAAGGCATGTTGTGGTATTATCACACTTAAGATCTAAAACCGCTTTTTCCCTTTTCTTGTCGTTTAAAAATAGAACCAAACTGTTAGGTTCCCGGTTAAACTAAGATCTTTCTCACCTAACTTTTATTTACAAATCAAAAAGATCTCTCTCTTAACAATAAAATTGATCTATTTATATACGAAATATTGCGCGATAATCTTGGCTAGGCTCTACGCAATAACCTGGAATATATTCTTGCGCAATAACCTTCACTATGGTCATCTCCCTTATGGCACGACTGTAGTGCGTGGCATAACACAAACGTTTATGAGAATAAAAACTGCATAGATTGAAAACGTTTACTCACGTGTCATGTAACAAATGATTCATGTATCAAGACTGTTGTTAATGCTTAGATGTTTGATCGAAATTCAATTGATTATTAGGTGTGGGCATAACTTGAGAGGAAATAACATTTTATTTATAAGCGGTTTAACAAAATCTTTGATCGCATGTACCATCATATTCTCTTTGATGACGTTGTCTTGTATAAACTTTATCTTTAGTAATTATTCGTCGTTAAAGTCGATGTTTGAAGAGTTTTTTGTGGTCTTTTGATCAACTGAAGTTTTGCTCGATTAATGTTCTTAGAATGTTAAGAATTGAATCTTTTTTCTCGACAAAAAAGAAAGAAAAACAATTCACATTATATCATTCGAACTATAAGCTGTCAAATATAAAATTAGATAAATATTAGAGTTTTATAGTACATTACGAACTTGAACATCTTTTCTATTCAACATCATAAGAAATGCATGTGCCACTTTTTCGGAATTTTATGATGAAGAAAAGCTACATTACAGGTTTATTCAATAGTAACAAACGATATCAATACATAGGATCTTGAAAGAAAAATTTTACAACTTTTGATTGTTAAACTTTTATGTCAAAATAATAAAAAAAAGTATTATCACTTTTTTGATGACCTATTTTACATTATCTTACACGACGATTATGAGCAATGCAAATTTGTTCACTTCTCTACTATTTAATTACTTAACAAAGTCTCCATTTATCCAAGTTTTGCCTACCGTAAGGTTGTGATTTATTATTATTAACTGTAATTTGTTTCTAAGAGTAGAGTAACGAAATTCCATATGAGCAAAGCGACACTTTCCATAAGGAAATTTTTTTTTAAAAACGCATGTTTGATTGAATAGACGACTACACTAAATCATACTCTTTTAGTTCGATAGTCAATCTTTCTTAAATTTAAATAGTTTTTTCCATATTTTTCGTTAATATAATAAATTATTTTATCACATCTATTTGTACTACAAACAATACAAAATAAGGAACAATACGAAGATACTATACAGTAGTGCATATTATACAGACAGCCGATAAAATAATAAAAACATATAACCCATGAAACCCTGATGAAAGCATCACACTAAATGTTTCATCATAGTTTTCAGTGTGGGAATGAACAGAAAGTTATTTGAAAGTTAAAAGATTCATCGTAAAGTGGGAAACTTTTCGATAGTGAATTTAGTTAGTTAACCATCAAAACAAGTGAAAAATTGTTTTCAAATGAGACCAGTTTAAATTATACCAAAAAATTCTTCAAATTTTCTAACTTCTAGTGATATTTAAAATGTTATTCAACATAGTTTATGTATCTACTAAACAAATAATCATGGAGAGATGAAAGTGAAAATAATGTCATAGAGGATGCTTTCTCCTACTCTGATGTAGCGTGTTTGACTCAAAAATGAAAAGTTTTTCTAAATCAACAGAACTTTCCTCTAGAATTTCACTTAAAAATCCAAATTTAATTGAAGAAAAATACTGAGTTCAGTAGACGATACAAAAATGCCCGTCGAATCCTGAGATTTAGCTTAATTTAGTACAAACCATTATTATAAGACGTCTCTTTTATTTCATTCAAAACACAAAAAATTAAACTTGGAATAACTATACTAAATTGGTGGTGCATAAATAACTTACTGTTTACTTTTGTCGATCTACTATTAAATATGTGTAGAAAATCTTAAATAAACTCATTCGATAGTGAATTTAGTTAGTTAACCATCAAAACAAGTGAAAAATTGTTTTCAAATGAGACCAATTTAAATTATACCAAAAAATTCTTAAAATTTTCTAACTTCTAGTGATATTTAAAATATTCAACATAGTTCATGTGAAAAGAATGAATCAAAAAACAGTGAAAATATTTAGTTTCATGCAGATGTGTAGCAATGTGTATAAAATTTGATATTTTCTTACCTTAATGCTTCTATCTTTTACGTAAATATCTAGAAATAATTATCAGTGAGAGACATGGTAGAGTGAGAAAACCTGCATGTTTTTTTTCCTCCAGAAATGAAATACAGCATTTTGGTAGACGATTAAATTTTTAAAAGTTGATTTAAGATTCTTTACATATATTTTGTAGTAGAAAAAAAGCGTATTGCAGAAGTGAATAGTATTACGCCACTGGTTAGACGACGTTTTTGTCCGAAAGAAATAATAGAGTATGGCGAAATAAGGAATTATGCAAAAGGAAAGTACTTTTTGGAGATGCCGAAAAGTCTTTGTTTTACAACTTCAACATACCTGAGAGTTAAATACTGAGAGCATCCACATGAAAAGCTATTATAGTAAGCTCGTAAATTTTCCTATATTTTTCTAGTATACATTGTATAGTATTCGATTGAACTTTTGAGGGTGAGGGTGAACTTTTCGACCGAGATTTTTGGGGAAAAATGAAAGCTGTCCAAAAATCCTGAGACACACATGAATCAATTCAGTTTTTGATGCTGATTCCAAATATGACATTGGTTTTCCAAAAAATGGAAGTTTGACGATGAAAACTGCAAAATATAAGTGAATTTCCTTGTTTTTTGCTACCGGTTTCAAAAAAGTTTATTTTCTCAACAACGGAACAATATTTTCCAGAACCAATACACGACGTTTTTCGTACTATTATGGCGAGTAGAATGATATGAAATTATAGGCTTCATCAGCTATCTAGAGAGACTTGAAGCTTTTTGTGCTAACATGCACGGGACTTTTGCTATTCGTGAAAAACTAAAATTTTTTAGGTCATATCATATTTGAACAGTATCGAAACACTATATTTCAGATTTAATTTTTTACGGAGAACAAGAATAACAAACTTCCAAGGTTTTCAAACACAGTGTGTTCGAGTTTTAGGTTCGTTTTCAAAAAAATAAGTCGTTTTTTAAAATTTTAAAATTTTCAGTTTTTTGAAATTTTAGACATTATAATTTTCATTCAAAAGGTTAAAACACACATATTCTTGTTCAGCTCGGTGAGTTCTATTGAATCATGTATAAATATTGCAAAAATAAATTTTACTTAAGTTTTGTATTTCCGGCGCCTTATTTATTTTTTACTGTGCACTAATGATAATAACAAGCGCTAATGATAGCGCAAAAGCTATTACTACATGTAAAATCAGAAGCAAAACTTTTAGTTTGTTTTTTGATGGATTTGAATCTACGTTGATTCTTCCTGATGTTGTCGCTGTTTTATCTGCATGCGTAGTACCATCCAACTGGAATGTCTCATGTTTTTTACTTCGTTTATCGCCACCATTCTTCTTAAAGTAATATTCAATGCATTCAAATGCGACCAATATAAATGTAACCCAGCAAGTCCAAACAATCATTATTCCCCATGAGCCATTTGCTTTGAGATTGAATCTTGAAAAGAATACGGCTAGAAATATTGCTGATATTGATAAGAAGAACGCACTAATTCCAACGAATGCGTGTAAATAATTATATATAAAACGATAACGATCGTCGTGATGACAACGAAATAGGGCCATAAATGGTTGAATAATTGCAAAACTGACAACGAGTATACCAATTATTGAATGTGCATATTCTGTTGTTGCAGTTTTTTTCGTCCATGACCCTTGTTGATGGACTAATATAAATATAAATGCTACAATTGTTAATAGGGAAGCACCAGACATTAACGCTCGATGTATGCTAAACCACACCGCTTCTCCACATAGTTTTCGATTCATCCAAGTCTTTTTAAAATATCGTGCAATTAAAAATCCCGTTGAAACAATTAATATCCATGTAAAAATCATTATACATCCATGAGCTTTCATTAATTTTTCTCTAAAACCATCATCAGATTGTGTATTTACATTATAAATAATTTGCTCTTGGCGATTAAGTGCAACTTGTTTATCTTCTGCTCGTCTAACACTGTGTCTTTGCAGTATATCTAAAAAAAGACAAATTATACAAATCAAACAAAGATCTTCTGCTTAGTAGTTCTGATTCGATTAAACAGAAAAATTGTGAAGTATTACTTGAACTATCGAGTAAACCAATTGCAATAAGCAGACGATATTGCTCCGTTTGTGATAAGGATGATATTTTCGTTTGTCTAATCGAGCGTGTTTTTACTACATCAAAATTCGATAATGTAAACTCGCACACTACCGAACCATCCTCCACTTTCGATACTTTTGGTGTAAATGTACCACCACTTCCTGGGGTAGCAGCGATCGGCCTCATATGTCCACCAGGATTAGTTAATCTTTGCACTACAGCGCTATTATCTGCTAAGTGTTGGCATGTAAAGACATGATCGTCACCCTTAGAAAGAACAACACTAGGTAGCGAAATAGAACTAGAGTAATGTATTGTATTTACCATTTGAGTGTCTGTTGACAAGCCAAAAGCAACCCATTGTCGAATTTTTAAATTATTAACTACCATACGAACGTTTGTCATACCATTTAAATAATTCCATGTCAAACTGATACCAACATCACTCGATGGTGAGACGGTTGTTACTGGAGTATTGGGACTAGTACGAGATGCTGTCGAACCAGTCCCTGTGGTCTAAAGTAAAAGGAAATGTAGTTAGAACTAGGTTTTATTTTTAAACACCACGTTCCAGCAACTCCTCCAGAGGGTGCCTGAAAATATTGAGACAAAATGTTCGATCTTTTCCATTACCTTCAATACTTTTTCATTCGAAGTTTATATCAGATTATGATTCATTTCAATCTCTTTCATTTGACATAGAAACATTGGGTATTTCGCTTTTATTAGTACACACATGGGTGCTTTAGAAGCGAAACATCCAAAATTCGGACAAATAAGACAAAAGAAAAAGATGTGCTTCTCTCTATTGGACTCTTTAATTACATCTCTAACGAAATTATATATCGTTCAATTCTCATAACGTCTACTTTTAAAAGACACTCGAAAGTGGTAGATTTGAGCTTATTGAAGAGAATAATTTACGAAAGAACAAAAATCAATAAAATCTTATTTTCCACAGAATTGAGCAACAACAATATTTTTTCTACTTTATGGAATAATAGCTCCACTTTTTGTGAATAAACTTATTGATTTCTACCAATAAAACTATCTCATTTTGTAGAGCCCAATTCACGCTTTAATTTAACGTAAAATCAGTCGAACACGAACGTATATTAATTACTGTACCGTACGTTTTACGTAATTACTGTACCGGCATCAGCGTTTAAACTTTTTCTGTGATGTTTCTTAGATCTTAGACGATATTCGAAATAGTCTTTTTAAAGCATCCATGTGTACTAATAAAAGAGAAATACCCAATGTTTCTATGTCAAATGAAAGAGATTGAAATGCAGTACAATTTGATATAAACTTCGAATGAAATTTGGTTCGCATTGGTTTATGGCGATCATTGTCTTTCTGATTTTGCTTGCATTCGATTCAGCTAGACAGATTCATTTGATTCTCGGATAAAAAGTCATAGTCGTCACCGGTAAACAGATAGACAGACAAATGCAGTTGTCTGTTTTTAAATGACACACAATATGCATGGACGATCATACGATACAACGAAAAGTGGACAATATCACTACTATCTGGGTAATATTTTACCATTAATTATCGCAACTGTGACTGTTTCCTCACTTATTTCTGATTACTTTTGAATCTGATTCATTCGTTCGAATCAATTATGATTTTGACTCAACGTTCGAATAAAACAAGAATTACATCAATACCAATATCCTTGCTAAATTGGACCTATAAACTGAATATCAATAGTCGGAAAGATGCATTGGCAATACCGTAACAAAATAAGGTGGTATGGGAGCCGCAAAACAAAATGTTGTACATGTAAATGTATGCCAGTGTAGACAATCAATGTTAGAAAACTTGATTAAATTAATATTTTTATGTGAAAGTATTCTACAAATATCGAATCTTAATTACTTCATTATTGATCGTTTTTGGACTAATGGTGGCATTGAAACATCCAACATAAAATATTTCATATGTTTCTGCGACTGTTGCTCTAAAGGACGAGTAAACTGTATTTCTGCCCGATGATAGATGCCAATATAAAATCTTACAATTATAGCTACAATACTTACTTGATCAGAACTACACCAGCTGTTATATTTGGTGAATGCCACATAGCACTGATACTGTCTTTATCACTCTTATTTGTATGCGTTATACTTTCCTAAAGATAGAATGGCTATTACTACTGAAGCTACAAAAACATCACAGTTCTACGATGAATTTTCTCCACGACTTAACGTACCTTCCCATTTCCACAAACACCTGTTTTCACGGTATCGTTAATAGGACTCCATGTTCCGATCAATTTAGAGTCAACGTCAAATGCCATCATAAGAACTCCTTGGAATTTATCATTGATAGTTAAACCTCGTACTGTAACTAAAAAGTCACGGAAAAAACATTACCAGATCATCATACGGTTCTCGAAAAAGCATCTATATCAAGGAATTATCCTTATAGGTTAACTGTTTCGCTACCCTAGAGAACGTACTGGATGCAGGTACTTGATTACTTGAAAAAATTGGCAAGTGTTTTCAAAATTTCTTACTTGCCATGTACTTTCAGAAATACTTCTCAATGATAAAAGTACTTGCTTTTATTGCTAAGAAGTACTTTGTGAAAGTCCTTGGCAAGTAAGGGCTTGTTTATCACCTTAAACCGAAAAAAGCGTATTCAAAAACCAAAAGGGTTTTTTTGTTTGATCAAAAAACTAAAAAGCGTTTTTTAGAAAGAGTCAAAGGGTTTTCTAGCTTTGGTAAAAATCAGATGGGTCTTTTCCTAAACGCACTTAGTTTAGGGAAACATCGTTTTTGGTTTGTCAAGTAGCGAAGGATTTTCCAGTTTGAGCAAAAAATCAAAAGGATTTATTTAAAAAGAGTTAATCGAATACTTTATATTTCGAAATTCAACAAACAATTTATCTTAACGTTGGTGAAGTCTTATGTAGCGATTTCTATATAAAGAAAGAGCGAAAAAGAAAAAATTTTGACATTCCAACATTTTCTTCATGCACATATAATATTATTATGAAAATTTATTTTATTGTTTTATCTCTTGTTTTAATTTGTTAAGCTGTATCTTATTCTTTTGTTTACAATCTCTTTTTGTCTTAGATGATGTCAGTTTTGCTTATTTACTACTTATAAACGCTCTTTTTTTAACTAAAAATAGAGTTAAAATCAGCAATTGCTTGAATAAGACAGGTTAGGATCGCTCGCCACTATCTGTTTACATTAATACTATACCTATGCTTAGGAAAACGTGTTTTCTTTGTTGACTTCAGACATAGAATAATATAAGTTGACAAAGTGAATATTAAGCGACAATAGAGAAACACTTGAATAGTAAGTATTACCTTGAAAACAATCCAAGTACTTGCAATTTTACTTGACAAGCTTCAACAAGTGAAAAATCAAGCACTTGGACAAGTACTTACAAGTAAATTTACTTCTGGAAAAAAGAGAAGTATCGGTTTCATTACGCAAGTGGAGTACTTGTCGCAAGTACTTTCTCTAGGGATATTTACCTAGAATTGAATCACCAGCTTCATATGATGAAGATGTAGGTTCGACAATATAATTGTTTGCACAAGCCGTCGGTGTTGGCTTATGTCCTGGTGTCATCGTCTCGCATGCTTTAAGTGGAGCACCACTCGAGTAGCTTTCAACATTTTTTATGAGAATAATTACTAGAAGGTAAATTGGATAATTAAACCACATCTAAATAACGATAACACAAAGAAATTATTGATTATAGTGTGCTTGTGAAACACAGAGTATTATTAGTACAAGTAGATCTCATAGGTTCCAATTAAAACTAAAAATCAATGAACTGTTAATAGCTGAGAGGTAGATCACAGGTTTTTAATCTTGCTGAGGTTTCTTCTAGTCTGTGACGTATCATAGTGGGTATCTATGAGTGTATAGAAAGAATGACTAATATCAAGACGGATTATAGTATAAGAAGGAGAGAAGATTTTCTTCCTTCGTGATACTTTTCTTCACAATTGAAATTTTTGTAAAAAAAAGATATTAAGATCGAAAGAATAGTAGTAAACGTACTCTTCTTTCATAAAAATTTTTGTATCCCGCCCTAATTTTAAGGCTTCATAATGTCCCTGGACTTTATATATAATTAATATGAATGCTACAGTACTTTCATTCAACATGTGTCAAAAAAATTAAGGAGAAAAAGAAAATTGCTGATCCTAAGCTTTAGACCGTAAAATATTTATAGGTTTATTTGCAATGACATATAAATATGCTTAAAAAACATATGATAACTATCAAACAGTGGCGGCATGAGTCACTGAAAAATTCGAAAACATACGGTAATTGACATATAGAACAGATGCGTAAGCCAATTCATCTTATTAAGATGCGCAAAACTGTACGAGAAGTCATGCGATTTTGTACGAATCTGATTGTGAGACTTCAAGCTATTGTCTACAACATCGTATTGTAAAAATCTTGTCAGATCGTATCTTTCGGTTTTGTCTGAACAGAGACATACCGCAAATCTAAGATTAACAAAGAATAAATAGTTTCTCACAGAGGTAGAAGAAAAGTTCTGTTTTCAACAGCTGTTTCTGTACTAAAATCCAAGAGCTTTTTTAGATTATCGCAAGTGGAAACTACCGTTTAACTCTTCTCCCTCACAACTTGATGGTTTGTATTATGTATGAAAGTTCAATTTGACTACAGAGATCGAGATTTTAAGCAGTTCCATCTCATTCACATGATATTGGATTGGTTCTAATAACGAACGGTTCCAAACACCATATCTTCAGATACCACTCCGAAACTTCACGCGTAAATATTCTCTTAATTAATATTCTCGTAATTTTATGTTTGATCAGCTGCGTACTGTTCTTAATGATAATCACATTACGTTGGAGCACATATTTTTGGAACATGAATCTATCCGAGCATTGGCTAAGCAGGATCTGATAGGAGTATATGCAGCCATCCTCCAATTTATTGATACTACCGAAAGATTTAATCAGTCATGATGTACTAAACCTTCATGAACAGGACGTCACATGAATAGAGCGAATCTCAGAATTCGATTCCCAATTCTCTCTCTCTTTTCACCAACATATAATCTCTCTTCTCTAAATACTCATTCTGTTCCAGCATGTTCATCTAGAATCCGGCATACAATGGAATATTCGAATTGCCGAATAAGTGTTTTTCTCTGGTAGTTGTATTTTTATTTTCTTTCTTTTTTACCATTTTTTACTAAATAAAAGAAAAACTGTTTAAAAAAAATATTCTCTTCACATACATATATCAGTTATACCATGTAGTAAAACATACATTAGACGAGCCGTCCATGTCAGGATTGCGCCTACTTCTGTCTAAAAAAGCCAATATTGAGAAAAATCGATGAATCGTTGTACAATCCAAAGTGTCTACTTCCAGAGAAAATTTTTCTTCGCGGTTCAAAAGCTGAAAAGGCTGAACTGGTTTTACATTCAAGCAAAACATATGTCTGTAAGATAATAGGGCCTATTTTTAATTTTGATTTTGTTTTCGGATGAGTAAAATATCTTTAAAAAACTCAGAAAGCAGTTTTTGAAATTTTGACGTTTCAACCATTGTATAACTTCACAATTTAAAATATCAATAATATAAGGTAGGGAAAAAATTTCTGATGTGGGAGAGCCTTAAGTTCAACGACATTTCCTTGATAAAAACCTCTTTTTGCTTGTTTTCCGCTTATGCAGCTGAGATCAATGTTTGTTGATATTTTCTATAAAAAAGGTCAAAATCAATTCGTTATGGATATTTTTATGATCAACAAAATGTTTTCACTGCAGGGAACTACTGGTCAAACTTTTTTTGCCATTAATACATTGATCGATCCTACGTCACCTGATAGCAATAAAAAATTAGTATAACCTTGAAAGTTAGTTTTCAAAACGTTCATTTTTTTCAATAAACTTTTCATTTCAATCGAACGAATCTTCATTTAATCGGTCGATTTAGTAATCAAGTGGTAAATTTCCAATTGTGAATTGAATTTAAGACACTTTTCAAAATAGTAGTATCTAGTGAAAAGTGTGAATAACAATCTGTACATGATCTTTCACTGTCATGTCGAACTTTGAATTAGAACAAGTTCATCAATAAGTCATCTGGCATAGTATTTCAATGTGTCTGCCCAGTAATGTTTCAGAAGTGCACATATTGTGACACTGATCCGACAGTTATCTTTATGTAGGACAAAGCTTTTTATTCTTATCAAACTTTGTTTTTGCTCACTTCCACTATAATGCGCTCTTTTTGTTTGTCGATGCTGCTATTTAACTTTAGATCTTTATTCTAAACTTTGTCATTTTTCAAACTTTCTAGCTTTACTGATTAACAATTCTATTCAAATATGTCTGTACTTACAGTCCACAGGATAAAGAATTAAATCAAATTTTTTCTAAATGTTTTCATAAATATAAAAGTTGCACTGTAATCATTTTGTATACCATAGAGACAAATTACTATCCATTTCAAAAAAGAAGAAGCACGGCCATTTCTTTGATAACTTTTTCTAAGAAGCAGCTAAAAAGGTGCGGTTTTCAGTATCGGAAAGCGAAATGTTGGGGTAATATGAAAAACTAAAAAT